TCCAAAACTGTAGTCAAGGTGAGGTTCCAGGTGCCTCATTTACGCTGAGGCCGGCGGCTCGCTGCCACTAGCTGCGGTCCCAGTGAAGCTGGCCGCGGATCTCCGACGATGCTGGGGTGGCGGGGGTCCCGCCGACATGAGAGGGGGCCGGGTCGGCGCGGGCGCCCCCTCGCTGTCCCGCCCGCCGGCGTCACCTAAGCCGCCGTTGCCATGGGCCCGCGGCAGATGGCCCGGTTTAGGGTTCCCCGAGGGCGGCGCGCACCGGATTAGGTGAATTAGGGAGCCTGAGCCGAGCGGCCGCCAGAGCCGCCGCCAGACCCTCTCGCCATGGAGGCCCCCGCCCACCCCGCCGACCCCGCCGACCCCGCGGACCCCGCGGACCCCGCGGACCCCGCGGAAGCCGCCGACCCCGCCGACCCCGCCGCCCCGGCGGAGGCGCGCGCCAAGCAGCCGGGCAAGTGGGCGCTGGTGCGCAGCCTGAACCAGGCGCTGAAGACCTACGCGGTCATGCCGGTGAGGCCCGCGGGAGGGTGCGCCCCGGGGACTCCCCCCGGGCCTCAGTTCCCCCGCCTGTCGGCGCCGGGAGGACCACAGGGTCGCGAAGCCTCAGGGTGCACGCAGGCAGGGTTGGGGGTGTGGGGGTGGCCGTGCTGCGTTTGGTCCCTGACTCGCGGCGTGAATGGGCCCTGGCTGCCCCTCCCTGGGCAGAGGCCTTCGCATTTACCCAGGGTGGATGGGCCAGGCCGGGGAGGGTCCAGAGCCCTGCAGCTGTCCCAGGGGCTGGGTGAACTGGCTGGCCCTCTAAGTCTCCCTATCACCCAGAGTTAGCAACTGGACACTCCTTACGCCGGGCGCCCGGGCAAGACGGCTGGTTCATTTTTCCAACCTGTGAAAACGGGGCTAATGAAACCAGTGTCCTGGAGCGCATATGGGGAGGAGGATGTCCCGAAACATCCCTTCATTCCCCAGCAGGCCCTGAGCCCCAGCCCAGGAGGGGAGAGGCGTCATGGACTGAGGCCCGTGATGAGCACCTGGGCTCCTGCCTGGGCCGGAAGAGGGGAGACATCCAGGACAATTGCATTTCCTAGGCTCTCTCACCTTCACCGCACTGACTTCCTCCATTTTAAGGCGGGTGAACCTTGAAGCCCAGAGAGCCTGAAAGACTTACCCAAAGTCACACCGTGTTAGTGGCAGAACTGGGACCTACTTGTTCACTGTGGATGTTCGCTGTTTCCCTGAGGGGGCCCCACCAGGGTACTGGTGTACCCTTGAGAACTTTTAGATTATTCTAGAACATCACCCCTCTGAGGCTGGGAGACCCTTCGCTCCAGCCACTCACTGATAGCAGAGAAGCTGGAATTGTCCCAAGTTACCCAGCCACACTGAGGCACATGCCACACCACAGATGGGGTTTTTGATTCAAGGTGAGGTCCCTAGTGGGGTGCCCCTGCTGGTGGGGGGCGGGGCAGGAATGGGGCTAGATGCAGTCATGGACTGCCTGGAGTCTGGCCGTGGGTAGGAGGGTCTGGTGGGGATAACCTGGGGCGCAGTGACCCTTTCCTCTCATCCTTCTTCCTGCCCCTCAAAAAAGTTTCAGATTCTTTCCCATCTTCCTTCCCTCACACAACCAGGGGTCCCTGACTCATGTTGTTTTGGGTTCAGGCTCTGCAGGTGCTCATAGTTTTATTGGTCACTGATTTGATGTGTGATTGTGGCCAAGTTCCTTTCTGTCTTTGGGCCTCAGTTTCCTTATCTGTAGAATGAAGACCCTTAAAACCTGGATTCATTCTGATTTTCCAAGGACTTTCCTTGGCACCATGGGACCTTTCTCCCTCAGGGGTTATCAGGCCCCAGCATTGTCCCTGATGTGTCTTAGCTGCCATGCTAGCCTCTTCGCAAGTTCTGGCCTAGAGCAGAGACAGCTAAGTCACTTCCCTCCTTGGTTAGGAGGGTTCCTGTCACTTCTGTTTGCTCTGTGGCCCTGAGCTCCTCGCTCAGCCTCTCTGAGCCTCCATCTCCTGCTGACACGAGGTCTTTCACTTTGGTTTTTTGTTCCCTGAGTGGGATGCATTTTCTGTGTGCAGACTCTGGGTTAGCTTAGGGGATACAGGTGACTCAGAGACACTTAACCTTACCCTCTGGCTACCCTCAGCCCAAACTTCCAACTTGCCTTTTGGGCCCATGAGTCATCTGCAGGCAGAGGGCAGAGACCCTGTGCGTGCCCCCGTTCTGCTCACAGAGTTGGTTCAGGGCTGGGCCCAGGGCCCGTCAGGAAAGTGCACTGGATTTGGCTTCATTTCTGGCTCTACCACAAAGCAGCTGTGTGGACTTGGGCACGTTTCTTGACCTCCTTGAGGAGATAAGTGGAGATAGAATCTTCTCCTTCCGGCTTATCATAAGGTTCAATGAAATAGTTAATTACAGGGAGGCATCTAACTCACTACCTGGACCGTTGTGGGGATAATTGTAGGTCAGCCCAGGGCTATGCCCTGGTGCCACAGCCCGCCATGGCTGGCACCCAGGAGTCAGCCATCTCTCTCTCACAATCACACACATACTACCTTTGCCCTGTCTCACACGTGCTTTCACACACTCACACACTCATATGCACACTCACACATATGCTCTTGTGTTCTCTCTCTCTCTCTCTCTCTGAGAGACGGATTCTGCTCTTCTTGTTTGACCCTGGGGAGTCACAGTGACAGACTCAGACCCAGCCCCACCCTCCGAGGGCTGCAGGCTGGTGGGGAATGGACACAGAGGCTGGTGACCCAGGGTGGTGGTGCTGACCCAGGGGAGCCTTCATTCTCCACAGAGCAGCCAAGGTGATGTTCTGAAAATCACTCCGTTCTCCTGCTTAAAACCTCCCAATGGCTTCTTGTCATACTTCAAAGTCCAGCTCCTGCCATGGCTTTCAGGGCCCTCATTTGTCTGGCTTGGGCTGCCATCACTGCTCCAGGCACCTGCTACTTCCCTGCTCCGTCACCGGAGTCTGGGCCAGGATGGCCACAGCTGGCTTTGCAAACGTGTGCTGAACGAATGAGGAAACTCGGGAGGGAGGAGAGGGGGGTGCCCGGGAGAGTTGCTATTCGTTCTGGATCTGAACAGACCTGTGGGCACCCACTCTTTGGAAAGTGGTGTGGGGGCAGGTGGAGAAGCACGGCGGAGCAGGGTGTGCAGGCGGCCCGAAGGCTGGCACTCAGCGAGGGCGAGGAGTGCCGCAGAAAGTGCAGCTTGGGCTTGGGACTAGAGTCGCCGTGAGGACACACGAGGCAGTGTATGGAGGAGCCATGCTCCCCGGGCACACAGTGGATGTCCTGGTGCCACGTGAGTTCTCCTCCCCTTCCAGAGGCGCTCCAGTTGCTTTGACTTTTTCTGGATAAAGCTTGGGTTAGAAGTAAGCCTGGATCTAACAGGCACTAACCTCTTGTGAAGCGAAGACCCACTCTGGCAGCTGTGGTTGAAAAATAGTTGTTTCCAATGGGAACAGAAGGGGCTGAAACAGTAATGAGTTGGCCCCAGGCCTCACTGAGCCCACCCCTCACTGAAGCATGTGGAAACTGAGGCTCCAAGTGGTCAATGACTTGTCCAAGGCCAAGTAGGTCCTACAACCCAGTCTCCTGACTCATAGCCCTGAGCTATTGCCACTGGGCCATTCCTGTGGGCTTATTTCATTGTGAATCAGTTTTATCAGCTGCTAGGTTTCTAACTGCTATTTGATAGTAAGTTATATTTTTATTAGGATATCTACATTCTCTTACCCTCCTGGGGAATGTGGGAACCACCAAAAAGAATACTCTTACTGGATTAGAATAAAATCAAAATGTTTACCTCCAGGTCAATGAGAACCTTAGTGTCCTGAATTTTGTCCACCTCTATGACTAACGTCTCTCCCATCAGGTCCTGACACAATGGCCTCCTTACTGTTCCTTCCTGCCACAGGACCTTTGCACTTGTCATTTCTTCTGCCCAGATGTCTACTCTTGTTCTTTCCTTGTCTGGCTGCTTCTCGCCTTTCAGGTCTCAGCTCTGAGATTTCCTCCACAGACTGGCTGCCCTGGCTACTGCCTCTCCTGTCAGCCTCTCAGTCATTCTCCACCACTGGGGTGCTCATTTTGATCACAACCCTCACCATGATTCAGCATGGTCATGTTAACATACTTGCTCAGCTGTTTGTTTTCTGTGTCCTGACAACTGGAATGTAGACACCATGGTCACTGGTTGATTCCAGCATTTAGCTCAGTCAGTGCCTTGTATTCAGTAGGTGCTCAATCCATGTTTGTTGAATGCATCACTGCTGAAGGTGGTTGTCCTAAGTCTGTTCCTCTGACTCTGGGTTTTATATTTGCCTTCCCTGTGCCCTGAGTGTGTAGTGAGAGCCAGGCCCTGTGCCGGGGGTTGCAGGGGACACAAACATGACACAACCTCCCACTCAGGATCAGGGCTGTACCCACAAGCCAGGCGACAGTGTGACTGAACTTGTACTATAAGGCCTGGTACAGAGCGGTGTCACTGTGAGGAGCCCCGAACTACGACCATGAGACCCTGGAGGTGACGGAGGCTGTTTGGGTGTCCTGTGGGGACACCTCCTTTGGGACAGAGGAGAAGTGGCTTGGGTGCCTTGTTGTTTCTTCCTAAAACTCAGGGAGCCCGCTGCACATGTGTGAGGTGTAGAGCCTCGGGAGAGCCGGGCTTTGAACGGGCCTGGGTTTGAAGCTGCCGAGCCGCATGATCTGGGCTGCTCTCTGACCCCTGCTTACTCGCATGTAGCATCAGGACACTCATGTAGTCACTGCTACAGAGCAGGGCTGATGGCATTGCTTAAACGCTCGGCCCAGGGCCTGCAGCAGATGGCTTCCAGCAAGTACAAGCACCCTCTTTTTTCCTCTCCTGTGCTTGGCCCAAAGCCTCTGGTGGTAGGGGTGGGGTACAGGACTGCTTGAAGGGGTGCCCGAGCCCCATCCCTGCTCACCTGGCCTGGGACTGTCTCTCACCCACAGGGGGACTATGTCTGGATGGACCTGAGATCTGGGCAGGAGTTTGATGTGCCCATCGGGGCAGTGGTGAAACTCTGCGACTCTGGGCAGATCCAGGTGGTGGACGACGAAGGCAATGTGAGTCATGCCCCCTCCCCTGCCCCCAGGTCTTGGGAGGGACACGGGCTGACAGGCGACCTAAGGGAGGGGCCAGGCAGTGACCCCCTCCAGGGGGTGGAGGAGGTGCCTGTGCCCTCACTTCTGCCTCTCCCCTGCCCCAGCACCCTCCATGGAGTTTCCCCCACTGCCCTGTGAGAGGATGCTCCCCCTTCAAGCGTCCTGTTCTGTGTCCACAAGCATAACCCATTTTGTCTAGTGTCAGAGACGTGCGTCTGTGTGGGCAGGTGTGTGTGTACCGTGAGGCGGGGGCGGCGCCGGGCTGGGAGCTCTCGGCACATGCCTGCTTCAGGGTCAGACCGACTAGGTTCAAATCCATCCCGCTCACTCCCCGGCTATGGAAGCTTTGCCATGTCTCTTTTCCTCCTGAGCCTCGGTTTCTTCTTCTGTAAAATGGGGATAACAGGAATTGTCTCAGAGAGTGCTGACCCACAAGTGAGGTCACACATGGAGAGCACCTCGGGAAAATGAGTCTGAAACCACCCCTAGTCTCGCTGCACTGGGTCACAACATCCTGTGACTTCACTGTCCCCCTTGATGCACCCTCAGAATCAGCCTAGCAGATTAACCCTTTGTCTCTCGTGGCCCTGAAGGAATGGGACACGGGCAGTGTGAGTGGGCAAGTAGTGAGACTGGGGCTCTGAGGAGGGAAGGAAGTGTCTGAGGAAGGTGGGTGGTCTGGATGAGGGCTCCAAGGGGAAGCCTGGGGCCTCTGAACATGTGTGCGTGTGTACTGCACATGTATGTTCTGCATGGGGACGTGGGGATGTGGTGCAGAGAACAAGGCTGCGGCTTAGCAGGGGCATGAGGGACCCAGGGGGATTCAGTTCCCCTGTAATTTGGGTTGTGCTCAGTGCTATGCCCAGCACTGGGGACATGGAGATGGAGCAAGTCCTTGTCTTGGGCTCCTGGTCTGACGGGGAGACAGGGGACAGCAACGCGGAGCAGAAGGCCCTGCTGGGTGAGGGGAGGGCTCGGGACCCTGGGGCCTGGGACTGGACATGGAGGGGTGGGGCATTACCATTATCCCTGCAGCTCCCGGGACACCCCATCAGGGTCTGCACAGCCCTGTGACCCAGGTCGGTCTTTAGGTCCTCAGCATCTGGGACAGGCAGAGAGGGCAGCCACTGTTACCCAAGGGAAACTGGCGCAGAGAGGGACCACCAGAACCCCTCACACAGCTAGTGAGGGATGGTGCTGGGATTAGGACCCAGGGCCTCTGGCCTCTGCCTTCGGTTCCCCTCCCAATACCTCGGTGGCAGCTTGGGGGCTCAGGTTCTGTTAGCCACACCTTTGTCCCCGAGTGTGGGAGTGCCTGCAGTGTCACTCCAGAGGCTCCAGTTCGAGGGCTGTCCAGGAAGCCAGTGAGGTTCCAGCCACAGAAGGGGGGCTGGCAGCGCAAACAGGCCCACTAACCTGCCGGCAGCCCCAGGGTGGGGCCCAGGGACGCTGCCTACAGGCTTGAGTTTCACCTGGGTCGTGTTGCATGTCAGATGGTGTCCCGTAACTGTGTCACCAGATCTCAGGGTCCCCTCCCACCTGCCCCCACTAAGGCCCTGAGAGTGGGGGCTGCAGCATGTGAGGGCCATGACTGACTGGCCTGGAGCAGGCTGGGGCTGGGTTAGTGTCGATGGAACTGGGTGCCTGGGCTCTGGCCTCTTGCACCAGCCCTTCTCACTCATGCCCGCCTCACCCTTCCAGGCCACCTCTTGTTCCTCCGCCTTCCCACAGACTCTTCCAACTTGAGGGTAGGCACCAGGCGACTCACTCGGGTTCCCCAGAGCTCAACAAAGGGTCTGCCCAGAAAATGTTATTCGTAAAAACTTGCTGAATGAATGAATGAATGAATGAATGAATGAATGAATGAAAGGTATGGTTCTGGTCCTCAGTGGAACCCTAACACTCTGCCTTTGCCCACGCCATTCCCATTGTCACATGTACCCCCGCCCCATTCCTCTACAGAGCGAGTGGCCCTGTCTCTCCGAGCTCAGTGCCAGGCCAGCGGTGTCCCCAGCCCTGGAACTGGCCATGTTCTCTTTCCTCCCCTCTCGCTCTCTCTGGTATCCCTCCAGGGCCAGGCCTTGGTTTCTGGCCTGTGCTGTGGGTGCCGGTGGACATTGATCTGAGGGGGGCCGATCTCAGCTGGAAAGGGGTGGGAGAGGCTCAGCTCTGCCGTCTGACTGGGCCACGGCCTCTTGCGTGTGGCTCCTCACTGTGAAACACGGCTGGTCATGAGCAAATACCCAGCACCGGCTGAGCAGTTAGCAAGCACCGGAGCTTTTTAGAGACCTGGCAGGAGTAAAACAAAGGTTGGCCTTTGTTGTGTCATTTAATCCTCCCCAAATCCCCAAGAAAAATGGATTATTCTGATTCCCATTTCCTAGATGAGGCCGTGGAGGCTCGGGGGAGCAGTGACATGCATAGGACCACAGGGTACACAGTGGCTGAGCTGCCCCTTATCTGTGTGCTGAACTGCTGGGGGGAGGACTGTGGACCCAGAGATGGGGTGGAGTGGAGAAGGCGGACAGCCACCCAGGAGTCCGCTCCCTCTGGCCCCCTTGGGCTCTAGGACCGAGCAGTGAGCAGGGACCAGGCAGAAGGAATTTTCCAACTGGATCAGCTTTTATGAGGAAATAGGGTGCCTGGACTAGAGGAATGTTCCACTGGGGACTGGAGAGTCCAGGCATGCTCTTCCATCTCGCCACCGGCCCATTCATGCCTCGGGAGAGCTGTGTGAGGGCCTGACCTGGACTGAATGGCTCCTGCCCAGGAGGCGCTGTGAAATGCCAGGGAAACTGGAGTTGTGGGCAATGGCTGTCCCTGTCTCTGAACCCTCTGAGGGCCTGTGCGGGCCACCACCCTACGCTGGTCCTGTTCTCCCATGTGGAGTGAGGGGGTTGGAATAGGAGGCCCCTGGGGTCTCCCCATGACTAGGACTCCTGCTTCTAATTCAGACCTGGTCCTCATGGTCTCCAGCTGGCCATCTGTCCCGTTAGAGACTCCCTGCTATGTCCTTTGTGCCCAGTCCCGTATGAGGCACTGTGGAAGGGACACAGCAGACACGGGCACTCCAGGAGTGCCCAGCCTTGGGGCAAATGGGGATGTCAGGGACAGAACGCACACAGTGGCACCCCAGGTGACCACTGCCTTGCAGTGGGAGGTCCAGGCAATGTAGGAACCCAGAGGTGGCCCCTGACCTGGCCTGCGGTGGACATGGGGGGCTGGCACAGGTGGAGCATGGGGTCTTAGAATGGGGACCATCTGAGCTGAGCCTCAAAGGCTGAGTGGAAAGAAGGAACAGCACGGGCAAGGTCACAGAGGAGTTTGGGGATGTGGGTGCCACCCTCCTTTGCCTTGGAAGTACAGGGGTTACTGGAGCAAAGCCGAGCAGTCCCTGTATCCAGCTCTGCTTGAATGCCAGGCTGGAGAGCGGAGAGGGAGAGAGTCAGAGAGGCACTCAAAGCCCCAGAGTAGTGGGGTCAGACCGGTGCTTGAGGAAACTCCCAGGCGACGAGGGACAGGAGGGGAGGGCTGGAGGGAGGTGGAGGACGGTAGGGGCAGGCATCAGGGGAGAGATGGTCTGGACCAGGGCTCGAGGTTGGCGTGGAGAGCATGTCAGGGGAGAATGGGTAGGAGTGGGTGACTGGTTGGATGGGGGTGAGAAAGGATGGGGCGCTGATGCCCAGATTCCTGCTAGTGTCCAGGTGTTGGGGTTGATTCTCCCAGAGGGGACCTGGAGGAGAATCAGGTGTGAGAGTTCATGACTTGTGTGTCACTCCTGCTCAGCAAGTCTGAGGGCTTGAGCAGGAAGGTGGCAGAGGGGTCCTCCTCACCCCGTCCCCAAAAGTCAGGTTCCAGCCAGGTCCTGAGGCTGCCAGGGTTCTGGTGTTTGGGAAGAGGCCCCAGAGGGCCGTGGGGGCTTGACTCAGGCTGTGATCATACCCCAGAGCACAGGTCACACTCTCTCTCCCCTGAGGGCTGGGACTGTGAGGAGAAGATGCTGGAGACCACCAGGGGCGAGGGGAGGCTTCCAGAGCTGGGGGGAAACTGGACTTGGCAAGATTATTGAACAAGCCAATGCTTTGACCAGATGCTCCACTGTCTGTCACCTGCTGGCAGCAGGGACTGTCGCAGGGAAGAGCAGGGAGCCAGAGGGTTTCCGCTGCAGCTCAGTACTGGAAGCTGCCCTGCCCCACATACATCAGCCCCTGGATATATCCCGATGGGTCCGCCTCTCCCACCTCCACGCTACTGCCTCCCTTCGCCAGCCGCAGTCTTTGCTTGCTGTGTCCTGGCCCTGGACTGTCCTCTCTGGGGAATCCCACAGCTGACAGGGGCTCATATCTTTCAGGTCTCAGCTCGACCGTCACCTCCTCTGGAGGTGGTCCCTGACCCCATGTAAAGTAGCTCCCCGGTGATTCTCCCTCCTGTGTGCCTGCTGCTTTATTCTCGGAACTGTTGGAAATGACTGTGCATTTATCTACCGGAGCCTAGATGTGAAGCCAAGGCTAACTCCAACTGTTACACTTTCCATTCAGTTCTGTACAGTGACGAGGGGGCTGTAACCCCCTTATGTTAACTGTAAGGTGGGCCAAAACCCCTGGTCTGCCTGCCTCTTGTTTGTAGAGAGAATGCCTAAGAGGAGGAGAGGCCCATGGGGGTGGGGGGGCAGGACCGTCCTCATAGACTCCCCCGTCTTAGCACTGGTGCATTAGGCTGTGGAAGAGAACACAGTCCTTACCAGGGTCGCCCAGACCAGGGGTTCCCTTCCTTCCAGGGCCTTTTCCCCAGCAGTACGTGGCGGGGGTTCAGGGGCGCAACCTGACATTGGCCTCGGTGCCTTCCCACAGGAACACTGGATCACCCCACAAAAGGCCACGCACATCAAGCCCATGCACCCCACGTCAGTGCATGGCGTGGAGGACATGATCCGCCTGGGGGACCTCAATGAGGCTGGCATCCTGCGCAACCTGCTCATCCGCTACCGGGACCACCTCATCTATGTGAGTGCTGCCCCCCGGCCTGCCCACAGCCTGCTCCCGAGACTGCCAGGGACACCTGTGCCTGCACCCCGGCCTGCCCACAGCCCACTTTCGAGACTGCCAGGGACACCTGTGCCTGCACCCCTCAGTCTGGCTCATCGTCTCTTTGAGCCGTGGCCTGTGTGGGCTGAGGCTGGGGAAGGAGGTGGTTTGTGCCACAGGTTCATGTGCCTCCATAGGTCCTGAAAGCACTGGGACGTCAGGGCAGAGCTGGTGAAAGGCGCAGGGCTTTGTCCAGAGACAGGGACTGGCTGCCCCGCCCCTGGGTGTGCTGTGGGGTTGGGGCCTGTGATGGGGTCCTCAAAGCCAAGAGAGGATGGGTAGGAGTTCGTATCTTCAGGCAGGGGGTAGAGGAGGAAACATGCTCCTTGATGCCCAAATCTTGATAGTACAGCCAGTCGTGCGCACACCCCACGCTTCCTCCGTCCGGAAGCTCAGGAGGACAGCTGTGGACGGTCTCCCTCAGGCCTGAGCTGGTCCGGGCCGGGCTCGGGGGCGGGGGCTGGGGGGCCGGGCTGGGGGGCGGGCTCGGGGGCTGCGTGTGGGCTGTCAGAAGGGCCACAGAGAGCATGTGGTGTAGAGGCTTTCGGCCCAGGGAACTTTATGTTCTTAAAAATTATTGCAGATCCCACACACAGTAGTTTATGTGGGTGACATCTACTGACACCACATTAGAAGTTAAAACTGAGAAACTTTACACATTTTATTTATTTAAAAATAACCATAAAAGTTCATTACAAGATAATGTTTTTATGAAAAAGAACTATATTTGCCAAAAGTAAAAAAGTTAGTGAGAAGAGTGACATTGTTTGGCAGTATTTTCAAATATCTTTAACGTCTTTAACAGCAAACAGCTGGATTCTCATACCTGCTTCTCATCCAGTCTGATGTTTGGGTTAATTATGACGAAAATCTGGCCTCACTGATATGTAGGTGGAAACAAAAGACCGTGCAGACTTCCTGAAAGGGTCTTGGAGACCCTCGAAGGTCTTTGGGCCACACTCAGAACTGCTGATGTAGTCCAACAGTCCCATTTCACAGACAGGAAAACAGACTCCACAAGGTTTAGCCGGGCCATCGCTGCGCGTGGGTCACTGCATGGCTCTGACCCAGCCCCTCCGGCCAGCAGCTCAGGGTGAAGGTAACTGTGGATGTGCATCAGCAGGAAGAGAGCAGAGGGAGCCCCCAGGCCAGTCCCCAGGCCCTGGGCAGGCGGTAGGGAGGGCATGCTCAGGGGGTGTGGGGATGAGTGCCCGAGAGAAGTGCAGAGAAGGTTCTGAGGGATTTGTAGGAGTGAGGTGTCACTCCCAGCTCGGGGAGAGTGGTGGGCTCCTGGAGGTGGGTGAGGTTGGCTGGTAGAGGTGGCATTCAGGAAAGGGCACTGTGTGAACAGAAGGCCGGAGGCAGCACCAGGCCAGGTGAGGGAGCGGCAGAGCCACTCAGATTGTCAGGACCATGCCGGGGAGCCAGGGAGCCAGGGCGGAAGAGTGAGGGAGCCCAGGGTTGTCCCTGAACGTCACAGCAAGGAGCTCTGTGAGCCAGGGGTCCATCCCCTCAGAAGCCTTGGCACGGTGACTCTTCAGCTGCTGGGGAGGCCCTGTGCCACCCTCCCCACTCTGGGTCCCCGCTGCAGCTTCAGGCTCCCAAGGAGAGTCTGTGTCTGGGCCCTTGACGCCCATCCGTGCACAGGCTCCGTGCACAGGCTCCGCCAGCCGCTCTGCCAGGACGCCCCTGCGCACTGACAAAGCCCCTCTCTCTCCCTCTCCCGCGGTGGGGCAGGGCATGGACGGCACCTCTAGACATGAGCAGCGTGGCTCAGCCAAGGGAGTGGGGCTAGAACTTGAGCCAAGGTCAGAGGTACCCCAGTGTCCGCTGGTGTCTGCACCCCCGTCATCAGTTCCCCCCTTGCTCCTCTCCCTGGATGGCGGGTCCTGTTCCTGGGGCTCTCCTGGCCACTCACGCGGGCTGGGTGCAGCCTGACACTGGGTCTGGGGGTAAGCAGGGCTCAGCCCCCCCCCCCCCGCCGCCTCCCGCCCCGGCTGCCAGGGAGGCCGCTGCCGAGCTGATTTCCCACCCAGTCTCCTGTCAGGAGGCTGGGGGCCCCTTCACAGGGAGGAGCTGAGTGAGACGGGGTGTCTCCACCAGGGCCCTGCGGACCATGTCTGAGCACCCCTCAGAGGCACGTCGGTGGTTGTTGTACACAGTTTGGTGACTTTGCAGACAAGCTGATTCTTCGCATGGGAGGGAGTTGGTTAGGAGACCGACCCAAGGAAAACGGCCAGAACAGGATTCCTAAGGGTGAGGGCCGGGACCAGTGAATCTTGTCTGTGAGACTGATTAGCTGGCAGCCAGCGGAGAAATCAGCCTGGACATTGCGTCCTTGAGCAGGCTGCTGAGAGGTCAAAGGAAAGAATTCCAGAGGTTTATAGATTCTCCAGAAAATCCCAAGATCTGCACATCTGCCTCATTAGAAGTGTCCCTAGGAACCTTTCTGACACCTTTTCTGGTGAGGGACAGGAGGCAGGGCGGAGACCAGGGATGGAGCCGAGGGGAGGTGTCTAAGCTGCCTTCTTATTCAGAAGCCTATCGTCAGAAAACCAAGCTATGGCATCTGGAAGATCTCAGCTCCTATAGTCCGTGGGCCTGAGATTCTGCGTGTCTGGGGAGCTGTGCTCAAGAATTGCAGGGTTCAAGTTTTCCTCAACCCGCCGACTCCGCAATTCCGTGACGGGGCGGATGATCTAGGAGCAGAACAGGGCTTTGAAGAAGCAGCTGGGCCATTGTCTCACTCAGAAACCATACCTGTCCCTAACCATGGCAACCCCTGGGCACCTCATGGGCTGGGTTACCCTGGGCACAGCCCCACACACCCAGGATTTCCTCAGATTACCACACCACTCACAGCCACGAGCTGGGCAGACACTCTGTCCCTGACTGTCTGCCCTGGGCTTGCCTGCTCCATCTGGCCTGCCCCCAGGAGCCTGAGGGACAGACAGCACCCCAGGCACAATCAGCCTCGGCACCCAGAACAGGAGGGGGCCCTCAGAGAACACCTAGCAATCGTCACCGGGTGGTCCCGGAGGCCAGAGGCTGTCCCTGGGCTCTGCAGAGACAGGTGGCAGGGCTGACAGAGACCCAGGACTTCCTGATGTTGAACAGAGGTCTCGGAGGCTGGGTCCAGTCTTGGCAGGTGGCCTTTGTGGAGTCTGTGGTCTCAGCCTTCCCTCTGGGTGGGGATCTCTGTGACTCTGGGAAGGTGTGTGTGTCCCAGGGTGTTTGTTTTGGTTCCCATGGTCTACTAAGGTAGAAGCCACAGGCTGGCAGGCCTGCAGGCTTCCTGGAAGAGGTGGTGCTTGAGGTAAAATGGATTCCTGCCACATCTCCCGGACTGTGTCTCTGGCCCCAGAGTGGCCCCCTGATCTCCTCCTGGGGACTTGGAGGCCCCTAGGGTCTCTGTGTGCTGTGCTCCGGGCTTGGGAATAGTCCTTATCTGTCCTCCAGCCCAGCCCAGGGCCCACAGGGTAGGTTTTATTACTGGAGACTTGAGCAAGAGGCATGTGCTGGGCAGTGGGCATTGACTGTTTGCTGACAGGAGACTCTTGGAGGGAGGGCCAGCGGGCTCAGGAAGCAGTGCCGAGAGTCTGGGGATGGAGGGGCGCTGAGGCCCAGAGGGACAGGCCAGCCTGGGTCTCAGAGCCATCAGTGGCCAGCTTCATCCTGCGGTTTAGGGAAGTTCAGGTGGGGAGGTGAGGCCTGGGGCGCTGGTGCCAGGGCCCCTTGCTGTCCCACTCCCGGCTTGTCTGCTGCTGAGCTCGAAGTCCCTGCCCCGCTCGGATGCTCAGCCCTCCCCTCTGGGAGGGAACGCACCTCTCACCGGCCTGCTGAGGATCTAAGGGCAGCTGACGCGGAAGCTGCAGAGTCCTGTGCCCACAGGGGTCTCCCTGGCCCTTGGTGTGTCCTCACCCTTCCCACGGGAGGTTCCTCTCACTGAGGAAGAGGACTTGTTTCTTTTTTATCCTCACACGAGGACATTTTTGCATTTATTTTCAGATAGAGCAGGAGGGAAAGAGGGAGGAAGAGAGAGAGAAAAACATCGACGTGAGCGAGACACATCGACTGGTTGCCTCCTGCACGACCCCTCCGGGGCCGGGGACAAACTGCAACCGAGGTACACGCCCTTAGCGGGAACTGAACCCGGCTCTCGCTGGTCTGCGGGCCAACACTCTAACCACTGAGCAAAACTGGCCAGGGCAAGAGGCTTTGTTTTTATGATTAATTTTGATATGAGTATGTGTGCTACAAATGAGAAAGTTTGCCTTCTGCCATGCAGAGAACCACTGCTTTGATATCTAATCTATCCTCCAGAAGAAACACTGTATAAATCATATGTGATACATGTATGCAGTTGTCCCTCGGTAGACACAGGGCATTGGTTCCAGGACCGCCAACCAACTCCAAAGCCCATGACACTCAGGTCCCTTATATAAAGGTGTAGTGTTTGCATATAACCCACGCACATCCTCCTGTACGCTTTAAATCATCTCTAGATTGCTAACAGTACCTAATGCAATGTTAGGTGCTATGTAAATAGTTGTTACACCGTATTGTTTAGGGAATAATGACAAGGAGAAAAGCTTGTAATGTTCAGTCCAGACCTCAACCTTCATAGGCCTAACTACATAGTACATGTCAGCAACAACAAAACATTCCCCCCCAAATATTTTTGATTGGTGGTTGTTTGAACCCACAGATGGGGAGCCCGTGGATACAGAGGGCTGACTGTGTATGTATGTATATCATATATGTGATATAAGATGATATATATACAATTAAAAGCTTTCACCTGCACAGATGGCAGCGTCGCTCCCCACGCTGTTCTGCGCTTGTCTGCGTGTCCGCGCCATCCTTCCGCCAGGTGGGGCTGCCTGTGCCCTGAGCCCCTTCCCCGCTGCCCCCATGGGCAGCAGGTCATTCCTGTACCCATTACGGCTGTCACTTTCGGTTGGTCAGCACACGTTTGCTGAGTGTCCCGTGTCCTGTGCGGGGTGGAGAGGGCAGCGAGGTGTGGTGGGCAGGGGCCTTGACCTGGCATTCCCAAGGAGTCAGGTTGGCCAAGGAAGGGGACGGTGTGGGTGGTGATGGATCACACAGGAGGGGGCCCTGCTTCCTGCAGGGGGTCATCTCAGCCTGGGCAGGAAGGATGGGCAAGAATTGGCTGGGGGAAGGGGCAGGCGGTGGAGTGTGGGCATTTAACTGAGTGTCTAATACGGAGGGAGCCCCTGCTGTGGGATGTGGCTGGTGAGGCCAGGGCCTTCGGAGCCAGGACAGGATGCGGACCTTGTCTTGAGGCCAGGGGAAGCCGCCTGGGGTTTTCAGGGGGGGAGGCCTCAGTTAGACTGGGTAAAAGCTGACCCTGCTCCCCGTGGAGGGTACCTGGTAGGAGGCAGTGTGGAAGCAGGGAGCCCAGGAGGGAGGTGCTGGGCCAGGGGGTGGCCATGCTGATGAGGAGAAGGGGCTGGTATGAGGAGAGAGGTGTCGAGGGCTCCCAGGCCCCCCCCCCCCCCCCCCCCGCCTGGCGAAGCATGGTGGAGGCCGCGCTGGCTGGGCTGAGCTGGGGAGGAGCTCTGCTCTGCACAGTGGTGGGGACAGCAGGCGCAGGGGGCTGAGGCCTGGTGCTCAGGAGCCCATGGAAGCCCTGGGGGAGAAGACGGTCCGGCCCAGCGCAGGACGCTTCTGGTGTCTCAGCGTGACTGGGTCCTCTCCGGCCTTGCCCCTCCCCTACTCCTGCTCACAGCCTGCTCTCAGGCCACCTCTGTCTGGCTCTGGCTCCCCTGTCTGCTGACTAGTTCATTAGGTCTGAAATACTATCTCTGCCTCCAATCTCTGCAGCTGCTATTCCTCCTCCCATAGCTGCCAGGGCGACCTTTCTCCAGCGGGCCTTCCAAAGGTCACGCCCTTTTATGGCTCCGTGCTGGATTTCCACTGAGGGGCCTCTCGCACCCCCCACTCAAGGAATCAGCCCCAGGCGTCCCGCCCTGGCCCCCAGTGTTCGGTCAGCCGCCCCGAGCATCTCAGAGAGGGGTTCTTGGATGACCGCATGGAGCCGGCCTCGTGCCATCGCGTTATTAAGGAGGTCCTAAGAAGAAGGGCAGCCCCTCTGTACCAGGCACCTGCCAAAGGTGATGTCCTGTGGTCTTACAGCAGCCTGGGAGGTAGATGTGAACCACTCCTCTCTTACAGATGAGCAAACTCAGGCTTAGAGACTCGAAATGATCTGTCAAAGGGACCAGAGTCCAGCTGCTTCTCCCAGCTGGGCAGGGCTGAGCTGTAGGGAAGATGCTGAGGGGTCCCGGGGCGGGAAGTCGGCAGGTTCTGCTCTGAGAAGTTAGCCCAGCCTGGGGCTGTGTGGGGTGTTGTTGGTGGAGAAGGGCCTTGCCTCCCTGTTCCCCACTGAGCAGTTCCCTTTTCTCCTGCTCCCCACTTTCCAACCTCAGACCAGCTGTGGCGGGCGGTGAGTGTGGCACAGAGCCGGTCCACTCTCCACAGGTGCTTGGCCCAGCCGCTCCTCTCCAGCCTCTTCCTGGCCCGCGTCCTGCCCCGTCTCTCCCTGCTTGGGCCCTTGCGCACAGTCAGCTGGTCAGCACGCCGGGGCTCAGCTGCTTCTGGCATGGGCTGCTTGAAGGCAGAGTCTGGGAGGGAGAGGAGAGTCCTCCAGGTGCCAGAGAAGGGTGGTGCCAGGCCAGGTCTCCTGGCCCAGGGTGGGCAGAACCAGGACTGGGGCCTGGGTGTCAGGCGCTCAGCCCAGGGCTTTGAAAGGCCACACTTGGCCCCCAGGGTGGGCGTTTTCTCTGGTGCCTGCCTGGCCACCTTGGGCTGAGGCTGCTGGGGGGGGGGGCAGGGCTGTCACCTCCTCTGTGAGGTCCTATGTTCAGCCTGTCCAGACCCAGATGTCAATACATCCATCACCAGTTACAGGCTGGGCCTGGCTTTTTCAGGTTGGGGTGAGGAGGGGCAGGAGGAGGGAGAAGTAACTCCTGAGTGCTTCACTGTGTTCTGGTGGCCTTGTTGTCCCCTGAGTGGCAGGGCCAGGGCCCATATCAGGACACTTTGCACACTGGTGGCCAATCTGTGCACTAAGAGAGGAGCCCACAGAGAGACCCCAGAAGGCTCTTCAAGGTGCATCTGAACCCTGAGCACAGGGCAGTGCTGCAGGGACTGGGGCCCAGCCAACCCCCAACCACATGCCCCAGCCCCTCCGGCTCTTTATGGCTAGGTTCCATTGCCTCTGTTCTAGAATGGTCCAGTTTAGAATCTCACTCTGAAAGTTTGGGCTGCAGGGCTTGGAGGCAGAGGTGGGAGCCAGTGTTGAGGAGTGCCTGCAGTGTGCTGGGAATTTCCTTCAGTTGTCATGAGCAGTTGTCTCATGCCCATTTTACAGATTAAGATAAAGAAATTAAGGCTTACAGACCCTCTCTCTGTCTCTCCTCACTTCCTCCTTTCATCAAATGTCAGTGACATCTACTCTGAGCCAGACCCAACACTGTTCGAAAGACCCGCCCCCAGATCACAGGGAGGCAGGATTCTGGCACCAGAGCCATGCTGTCCCTCCCAGAGGGATGGAGCAGGCAGAACCTGAGAACTTGGGAGTCAGAGCTTCCCACATGGGACGTGGTGAGCTCCCTGGTCTTTGTTATCCACAGACATACACAGGCTCCATCCTGGTGGCTGTGAACCCCTACCAGCTGCTCTCCATCTACTCGCCAGAGCACATCCGCCAGTATACCAACAAGAAGATTGGGGAGATGCCCCCGCACATCTTTGCCATTGCTGACAATTGCTACTTTAACATGAAACGCAACAGCCGTGACCAGTGCTGCATCATCAGGTGGGAGGCCCAGCACCAGCGCAGAGCTCCAGGCTTAACCCCAGAGCTCTAGCTATGTGCTCTTGCTAATGTCTCATATATAATCACCTCCCCTTTCCCAGGTCTTATATCTCTATTAATGTGACCAAAGCTCATGTTAGCTTTTGAGGCCAACCTTATTTACTGCTGGCTCCTGTTAAGTTATGGTCAGTGGAAAGCTCAGGATTCTGTTATTTCTTGGGCAGAGGGTAAAAGGACAAAGTACAATCCAGCATCTAATACGTGCTGGATGGAGGGCTGTGCATGTCTGAATGAAGGGAAAGAAAGTAACCTTTGACTGTGGCAGAACGATGATCTCCTTTAGCCTTTCCTCGGCTGGAGGGTCTATGTTGTCAGCCCATTACACAGACGGGGGAGGCCGGGTGGTGGAAGCAGCCTGGGCTGAAGCCCCGTGGGGAGAGGGACAGTGCGGACTGCGACGGGCCGGCCTCTCTCTGGGTGTCCTCTGCAGTGGGGAGTCAGGGGCAGGGAAGACAGAGAGCACGAAGCTGATCTTGCAGTTCCTGGCGGCCATCAGTGGGCAGCACTCGTGGATCGAGCAGCAGGTGCTGGAGGCCACCCCCATCCTGGAAGGTAGGGCTAGGGACCTCAGGGGGGGTCTAGGGGGCTGGGTGGGGGCTGACCTTGCCTTGACCCTCTACCCACCCTGAAGCATTCGGGAATGCCAAGACCATCCGCAATGACAACTCAAGCCGCTTCGGGAAGTACATTGACATCCACTTCAACAAGCGGGGCGCCATCGAGGGCGCCAAGATCGAGCAGTACCTGCTGGAGAAGTCACGCGTCTGTCGCCAGGTGGGCCCAAGCCCGGGGGCGGAGCTGTCCCTGCACAGGACCCCGAGCCACAGTGCTGCGCGGTGTTCACACCGTCCGCATAGCCTAGGCTGCGCCTGCTTGCCTGTGCCTGAAATCCCACGAAACCACCACGGAGCTTTTTCCTAAAAGCCAGTTGTTAAAATAGAAACCGTGTTTCCAGTCTCCTTGATCGATTCCTGATGGCCTCCTCCTGCCCTCCTGCCCCTACCCCAACACCCGTGCCCACGTTCTCAGGCGCCCGATGAAAGGAACTACCACGTGTTCTACTGCATGCTGGAGGGCATGAGCGAGGACCAGAAGAAGAAGCTGGGCCTGGGCCAGGCCACGGACTATAACTACTTGGCTATGGTGAGGCCCAGGCGGGGCATCCAGGGAGGGGGACGCCCATCCCAGTGAAGTCGGGGAGCCCACCCAGACCCTCCCCAGCTCTGGGCTCTCTCCTGCACCCACCCTGGGCTTGCGTGTGCCACAAGGCCTGTGCCTGGCTTGGGCATACACCCACGTGCTCACACATCTAGACAAATTCTCACCACAGACACTCATTCCTAAATGTGTGTAGGCGTCCCAGAGCCAGGGACTCAGACACACACACCCATGTGTACATGCACTTGGACCTACCTGTGCATGTATGTTAGTCTAGTCTTTGAAGATATGAAGCCTGGGACCTCTGCCAGGCCCCCAAGAGAGTGGCGTGTAGGTCGCTGTGGTTCATACTCAAGGGCCACTGACTGCGGGGCATGGTGCCAGCCTCTTGCTGCTGGCAGGACACCACCGAGAAGTAGACCCAGGCCATTGGATGCCACCAGAACTAGGTGGCTGGCCTTGTACACAGTAAGCTAGCTTGCGGGGGCAGCAGCCTCCTTAGTCCTGGGGAGCCCCTATTGCTGGTTGCCTCGAGCTGGGTTGGGTTGAGCTACATGGACACAAGCGCGGACAATGGCATCTGAGGGATGCAGGACAACAGAGGTGCATGTGTGTGACTGTACGTGTTGTAGGTGTAACAGGTCTTCCTGGACACTTCCTGCAGCTGGCTGGCCTGGTACACTTGCACACGTGCGTGCACGCACACACACACGGGTCTTATGGGCACACGCAATGGGGCAGGCCCTGACAATGCTCCTTGCATCCCAGGCTGCACCTGGTGAGGGGTTCAAGTCCCTGAGGCTGGGTTCCATGGGTGCAGAGGGCGCATGGCAGGGCCTTGGTGCTCTGACTGCCAGGCAGGGTGGTGGACCAGGCCTGACATCAGTGACCTAGCTCCTCCTACTTATGAGAAAAAGGGGCATCCAGGGTTCCAGGCATAGGAAATGTGTCCTGGAGAAGCCCAGACAGGAGCTTTCTAGACTTTCCGGAGGAGCCATGGCGCTCACTAGGTGAGGTTGGTGCCTGGAGCCCAGGCTGGCTGGGCTTGGCAGTGAGGGCCCTTGGGCTCAGGCACGGCCTCTCTGGGGCCTTCCTGAAGCTCTGCTGCTCCCACTCCTGCCCACCAGGGTAACTGCATCACCTGTGAGGGCCGGGAGGACAGCCAGGAGTATGCCAACATCCGCTCCGCCATGAAGGTGCTCATGTTCACCGACACCGAGAACTGGGAGATCTCCAAGCTCCTGGCTTCCATCCTGCACCTGGGCAACCTGCAGTACGAGGGTGAGGCGCCTGAATGAGCCCACCCAACCCTGTGCTGGGTCCGAGGGCAGCACGACAGCAGCTGTCCGGGGGTAAAGGTGGTTCAGTTTCTGTCTCAGCATGTACCTTCTTTGGGAGAATGCACCTGTGGTAGATTTGAACCGATCTCCCAGCCTCAGGTGTGGTTTCACGGTGCTGAAATTCCACCATTGAGATGTACAGATAAAGTATAAGGGGGGTTGACTATTGGCCCCTTAAGATCACTTCCAAATTTGGTTTCTTCTTTAAGGTCAGATGTCTTGGAGAGGGAATCAGTTTTTGAGTTAATTCATACTAAGGGCACCTACTATGGGCAGGCTGAGAGGTGACTGTCTAAGGCAGGCACCGAGTCCCACTTTGCTCTTGCCCTTGTCACCCGACATGGCCCCAGACAGAGTAAGAACCTGAGCTTAAGTCAAAACTGTCCCTTTGGGAAAGTTTGTTTAGTGAATGAATGAATACTCCCAGCTCTAAGGAGCTCACAGTCTAGTGAGTCTTTAAAGACTAAGTGATGCGTAAATACGCGGAACAGCAAATCAATGTCTCTCGCTCTAAAAATCAATTAGGAAAAAAAAGAAAGACTAAGAGACAGGAAGAAAGGGAGCAGCAGGCAGAAGGAGGAGTGTGTGCAAAGGGCAGGCACACTTGGGAAGGACAGAGAGTGTCTGGCACTAAGCTCAGCAAGTTCACTGAGCCTGTCTCACAGGAGCCGCAGAGTGTTCTGGGAGCCTGGGGGAGAGGGGCGTGGCTGCCAGCGTCTGATACTTGGGCGCCAGGCACAGAACCGTGTTGGATGCACACGGTTTCTATGCTCATGGTGCCCAGAGTTCACGATGAGAACATTCCTCAAACATACGTTGACCCAGGCACCCTGAGAACACCCTGGATCCCCTTAGACTGCCCCTAGCCCCCATGCCCACCCTCCCTTACCTGATGCTGTGCCCTCTTGCAGCCCGGACATTTGAAAACCTGGATGCCTGCGAGGTCCTCTTCTCCCCGTCCCTGGCCACAGCTGCATCCTTGCTTGAGGTCAGTGCCTGGTTTTCTGTCCCCATAGCTGTTTTTTTCTCTGAGGGACAGTTTTGACTTCAGGCTCAGGGTCTTGGCATGTGAGGCCCAAGGAGCTGGGGCCTCTGCTTGGGAAAGTTCCAGAAATTCGGCATGGAGAACCACTGCGTACCAGATGTGTGCTGGGCGCAGATCCCCCAGGAGGAGCAGAGCCGCACTGCCTGTCTCAGGCCAGCTGCTCCTGGGGACAGTGGGCCGTAGGCACCAGGGCTGGGGGCCCCTAGAGAATCAGTCTGTCGGTCTCTTAGCAGACACTAGGCTTTACCCTGGGCGGGAAGGCTGCAGTGAATAAAGCCAGAGTAAGAGCCAGCCCTGAGGACAGGTAACGCCTGGGGGGCTTGGGGGCGGGTGTCAGAGAGAGCAGAGCCTTCGGGCAGTGTTAGGGTGGGCTTTGGAGGTTGGGGAGGATTAGGCTGTGGGGCCACAGGGAAGGGCATTCTTAGTGAAGGGGACAGTCAGAGTGAGGCCTGGTGTGAAGTGGGAACGGGGCTGTAGGTGGGAGTTCTAGGAAGGGACCGGCTGGCAGTGGCTGGGTGAGCTCCTGATGTTGCCCCCCCAGGTGAACCCCCCAGACCTGATGAACTGCCTGACCAGCCGCACCCTCATCACCCGCGGGGAGACAGTGTCCACCCCGCTCAGCAGGGAGCAGGCACTGGATGTTCGAGATGCCTTTGTCAAGGTGGGTCTGTGGAGTGGCCACCTGCTGTCCCCTGCCATGCGGGAGGATGGGTTGTTGATGGGCAGGAGCTGAGGAGTCCACAGAGCTGGTGGGCATCTGGGCCATGACCCCCGCCTCCCTTGGGTCCAGGACTGGCCACTGACTCTCTCGGGAGCCTGGGCAAGAGTCTGCTTTTCCTGCGTCCCACAGGGAGCTGGGAGCTGTGCCCTCCAGGGGCCCTGCCACCTCTGGTCCCCTCAGGCCCTCCACCTGGCCTTGGGTTTCATGCTGGGTCACATCTCTGGTCTTCTCAGAGGAGACACTGAAGAAGGGCTGGGTCGGGTGAGGAGGGCACTGAGTCCTGCCTGCTTCCAGTCACCCCCTTGCTGCCCATTGTGCCCCTCCCTGCTCCAGGCCCTGTGCTTGGCTCTGGGACCCCCAAGGTATTCAGGGCTGATGGGGAGACAAGAGGCAGATGGAGAAATGGGAGTCCACAGGAGGGCTCCCTCCCAAACTCTGAGGTTGGGAAAGGTTTCTTGGGGAGCTTTAAAACTGAGTGGGAAGTGTTCAAGCTGAAAGGGTGCTCCGGGCAGAGGAGACAGCGTGAGTGCAGGGCTGGGGGTTCCCAAGAGCACGCTGTTTCGTGGAAGGGGCTGGAGCAGGGCCGCCGAGGGCCCCGGAGCTCGGGTCTCGGGTTGGCCGGGCCGAGGCTGACGGCCGCGGGCCTCCCAGGGCATCTACGGGCGGCTCTTCGTGTGGATCGTGGACAAGATCAACGCCGCGATTTACAAGCCCCCGTCCCAGGATGTGAAGAACTCTCGCCGGTCCATTGGCCTCCTGGACATCTTTGGGTTCGAGAACTTTGCTGTGAACAGGTAACTTGTGGGGCTCTGCCCTGCGGGAACTTTTCCTCCACAACACAGAACTAAGACGTGTCGCTTCTCCCCCGCTAAACTACTTTCAGTTGTTCCGCGCACACCCTGCCAGGCTGCTGAAAAACGACCCCAGTCGTCCTGGTGGGCCCTCTCCCCTTCCTTCTCATCCCCTCTGTCCCCAGGGTCAGCTGAGGCCGGCTCAGGAAGGGATGGTGGGGGGAGGGAGAGGGGAGGCCCTGTAGCATCAGGCCTCACTGCTGACGGGCCTGGTGCCCCCACTGCAAGGTGCCTCGAAACAGGTGAGGCTGGGCCTGAGCCAAAGTCGAGATGGGGTCTCGGCCACGCTTGACGTCCCACTCTTGGGGCTGCATGAGGGGCAGACGATGGAGCAGGCCCAGGTGGATCTCAAGTGACAGGCAGCTGGCCCTGCCCCACCTTCTAGCTGCGTCATTTTCATTCCTGTAATGTTTTGATGTCTCAAAGTCCCCCATCCCCACCCCACCAAAACAGCCACATTGAGTGTCACGTGGGAGAGGAGAGTTGGCGGCTCAGAGATGTCAGCCATCAAGGTTGTGCATCCAAGTTTCATCAGACCCCTTTCCAGGTCCTGCGGACACTTTGGCTCTCTCCTGGTCTCTTCTCCTCCAGGTGCTCTGCGGGGCCTGCGGCCCACCTGCCAGCCCTCCCCACAGGGCCTGGTCAGGCAGGTGAAAGGTCCCGAACTGGGGGTCCTGAGCCCTGGGCACTAGGGCACTAGCCTGGACAGTCCCACCCACCTCAGAGGTCAGAGTCTGCAGCAGGAACAGTGTGCCCCTGGAGGCAGAGCTGGGCCCCTGAGCGGTGGAGCAGGGCCTGAACGCCACCCGCTCACCCCGCGGCCCCTGTGCACCCCCCAGCTTTGAGCAGCTCTGCATCAACTTCGCCAACGAGCACCTGCAGCAGTTCTTCGTGCGGCACGTGTTCAAGCTGGAGCAGGAGGAGTACGACCTGGAGAGCATCGACTGGCTGCACATCGAGTTCACCGACAACCAGGAGGCCCTGGACATGATCGCCAACAAGCCCATGAACATCATCTCCCTCATCGACGAGGAGAGCAAGTTCCCCAAGGTGGGTCTGCGGAGGGCGGGTCCTCCGAACCGAGCCTCAGCTTTCCTCATCTGCAGAAGGGGCTAGTGACACCCGCCTCTCAGGGTGGCTCTGGGCCAATTCAAGTGCATTCTTCCACATTCGGGAGTCCCCTGCAGTCCACTGCGTCCTGCCCCAGACGGACGTCTAGGCACACAGCTGGCACAGAGTAGGTGCTCCAGACACAGACCAGGCTTGGGGAGGGGCTGTTCCCCTGGTTTATCCCGGAGTAGATCTGAACGGGGATGTACTCTCATGGTTGTGCTGTTCCGCTTCCCCACTTAACAGATGAGGAAATGGAGGCCCAAAGAGCTCCCGCGTGGGCTATAAATAAAGGGGGGTGCTCTCGAGAAGGACAGAAGAGGGGTGCAAAGACATGGGGCAGAACAGGCAGTGGGGCCTGGGGGAGAGGAGAGGGGTGGCCCGACAGCTGTCCCTCGGTCCCCACAGGGCACGGACACTACCATGTTGCATAAGCTGAACTCGCAGCACAAGCTCAACTCGAACTACATCCCTCCCAAGAACAACCACGAGACCCAGTTCGGGATCAACCACTTCGCCGGCGTCGTCTACTATGAGAGTCAAGGTACAGGTGGCGGCGGGGCTGCTCTTTGTGCCTCCCTCCCTCCCCTTCTCCACCAGGACCGTCACCAGGCTCCCGGAACACAGAGGAAACACTGCGACCAATCTTTTTTTTTTTTTTTGAGAGATTAAAAAATGCTGTAGTTGCCCTGGCTGGTTTGGCTCAGCGGTTGGAGCGTCGACCTGCGGTACAGAGAGACCCGGGTTCAGTTCCCGCTAAGGGCACGTACCTCGGTTGCAGTTTGTCCCGGGCCCTGGTTGGGTCGTGCAGGTGGCAACCACTCGATGTGTCCCTTCACATCGATATTTCTCTCTCTCTCTCTTCCTCTCTCTCCCTCCGCTCTATCTGAACAAAAAATGGAAAAATGTCCTCGGGTGAGGAAAAAAAAAATGCTGTAGTAAAATATATATAATGTAAAATTTTCTACAATTTTTAAGTCTACAATTCAGTGACATTAAGTTATTCATCATATAATGCAACCATCATTGCTCTCCGTTTCCAGAGCCTATTTGTCACCCCAAGCGAAGCTCTGGACCCATTAACAATAACTCCCCATCCCCAGCCTCGGATACCCGCTAACCTACGTTCTCTCTTTACATATTTGGCTACTTAAAGTACTGCGTGTAAGTGGAATCACACGCTTTGCGTCTGGCTTATTTCACGGAGCACGGTGTCCTCCAGGTGCATGCGTGTCACAGCAGGTGTCCTTTTAATCTCTCCTCTCACCCGTCGATGGGCATCTGAGTTGTTTGCACCTTTTGGCCACTGCAAATAATGTTGCTGTGAACTTGGTGTACAAGTGTTTATTTGAGCCCCTGCTTCCAATGTTTTGAGGTGGGCTCAATGTTCTTTTGTACATATGGGAAACTGAGGCTTCTCAGGGGGGTTCACTGTCCTTCCGACGGAGCCCACTGGATGTAAAGCCAGGCCTAGAGCCAGCCCAGCCACCCACCGAGACTCTCAGCAATGAGACCAAGTGCGAGCTTTGAAGGGAAGACACTTCTTTCCTCTCGGGACATGGGATTGGGTTCATTTACAAGCTAGAAGTCAATAAGAGGGTCAAAACAAGGTCAAGTTTACCCCGCCTGGAATTCTTACAGGGTCTGCCAAGCCTGCAGACTGCCCTAGCCCACTGCGCCCCTCCCACTCTGGTTTAGTGAAGGGCCAGCCTGGAATGGGCCTCAGCCAAGGGATGTGCCCACGCCGAGCTCCTGCCATTCGGCCCCAGGGGTCCCACCCACAGCCAAACAAATGAGCCAGGAGCTGTGGGTTTAGTGCTTCCTTGTTGAGTGGGTCCAGAGGCAGTAGTGTGTACAGGGAGCCGTGCTGCAGGGTGGGATCTGAAGGCTGCTCGGCCCTCCTTAAATACTGATGTGAGTCCTGGCCGGTTTGGCTCAGTGGTTAGAGCATCGCCCACGGACCCGAGAGTCCCGAGTTCAATTCCCGCTAAGGGCACGTACCTCGGTTGCAGTTTGTCCCCCACCCCGGTTGGGATTGTGTGGGTGGCAGCCACTCGATGTGTTTCTCTCACATCGATATTTTTCTCTCTCTCTTCCTCCCTCTCTCCCTCCCGCTTTATCTGGAGATAAATGCAAAAATGTCCTCGGGTGAGGATAAAAAAAAAAAATACTGGGTGTGCGATCCCACCCTACTGTTAGGAAGAAGGAAGCCAACGTTACATCTGAAGGACTGCTGGGCAAACCCACCGTCCTGTTGTTTGGAGTAACAGAGGGTTGTGTTTTTCAGTTCAGTTCAACCAACACTCACTGAGCATCTGTTATGTGTAAGGCTTCCTGCTGTTGCCAAGGACACAGAAATGAAGCCTGAGTGAACTTGACACAAACTTATACAATTACAGAACGTTAGATCTGGAGGGAACAGGAGGGCCATCTGCTTTGACAGACTTGCGAACTGAGGCTGAGCGAGGGAAGTGACCTGCCTGAGGTCACTAACCAGTTTTGAGCTGCTTGAAGCAATTCTACCAGCATTTTCTGGTTCGTGAAGTACTGTTTTAACCCAGCATGGGTGGTGATACGTGACCTGAAGAGAAGCAACAGCTTATGAGTACGGACATCCTCATCTGACAGATGAGGAAGCTGAGGCCCAGAGGGGACCTTCCTAGGGTCCCATAGTGAGTCTGTCATAGAGCCTCAGTTCGAGCCCTACACTCCCTTCCCAACTCCAGAGCCCGCCCTTCCACTGCTGAGTGCTCCTGCAGCTCCGCCCTCCTCACATGCCGGGCGGCAGCCCGGCACTGAGTCCTTGTGCCGTCCGCCCGGGCAGCTGGAGTCGCGTGGGGAGAGGGTGCCACTTCCCCCCAGGTTCCTGCTCCTCAGGCGTTCCCAGCCGGTGGGCATCTGTCTCCTGCCCGTCCCAGCGAGGCCCCATTAACCAGCTTCTAACTCCCCAGTCCCTGGAGGTGGCGTCTTTCTCTGGGGACTGGCACCAGGGGTCCTGCGGAGTCCTAACTCTGCTTGTGTCTTGCTGTGTGATGTGAGACACCTTGCTTAGCCTCTCTGAACATCGGCTTACTCTGCTGTGGGGTGAGGAGATGACTCCTGTTTGTCCTGCACCTCCAAGGGGAGGTGTGAACATCAGAGCTGTGAGGGTACTTTGTAAAACAGAAGGCAAGCTATTTTCGGTCCATTTTTTCAGTCAAGTTGGCTGGTATCAACATGTATTCTCTCCTAGGTGACTCTTACTTAACAAGGGCTTTTGATACCTTTGTTTAAAAGACTAAGACTGTCACTGGGGCATTGGGGTGGTTCAGTCAGGAAGGTGCCCCATCGCCCAGGCCGGACCTCCTGCTCGTCTCTGACCAGGCTGAAGAGGGGGCTGTGTGGCCGGGGAGTCGGAGTTCCAGCTCTCACTCTGCCCTCGCTGTCTCTGGGACCTTGGGCCAGCCGCTGCCCTCTCCGGGCCTCAGTGTCCCCCCTGTAACTTGGATGTGGGTGAACTGGGTGAACTTTGAGGGTCGTCCTGGCCTTGGGGAGGGTTTGGGGCGGGGCTGTCCTGTCCGGTGGAGGCTGCCGGAGCTGGTGAGGTGTGACCACTGTCTGCTCTGCCAGGCTTCCTGGAGAAGAACCGGGATACGCTGCACGGAGACATCATCCAGCTGGTCCACTCCTCCAGGAACAAGTTCATCAAGCAGATCTTCCAGGCCGACGTCGCCATGGTAATGTCAGGGCAGGGCTTCCATTGGACAGAAGGGTCCCTAGAAGCCAGGCAGAGTCTAGACACCCCTTGTCCAAGCAACAGCTGCAGCTGAGTCCCTCTGGCTGCAGAGCGGGCACAGTGCCTTCCTGTGCTTCTAGGAGGGGCCTGGGGGTCTCCAAGATCCTCCCACCTGGCCCTCTTGTACTGACTGGGGGGTGCAAGGGAGCGCAAGGCCCAGAGAAGGGTCATATGAGGGGTCACAGAGTGGAGCCTGATCAGGACTCGGAGAGGTACTCCCTCCCCGCCTGGACCTCCCGCTGCGAACAGGGCGCAGGGCAAAGGGAGCGTGTCCAGCCTTAAGGACTGGGGTGGGTGTGGGTGTTCAGAGAAATGGCACAAGGGATATATCTGCACCAGCCCTGGCCACCATACAGGGTGGAGAATTTCCCACCCTCAACATTTCCTTTGTCTGTAGAGCGGTAGGCTGGTGGATTTTTTCCTGCAGGATTGTATGCCTTTTTATTTCACATTTCTTCCTGTCCCGTGGCTCCTTGGAGGGTGCACGGAGAGGCTCACGGGGGGGCAGAGCTGCTGCCCTCTTGGTGCCCGTCCAGGGGCTTTTGATGTCCCCAGCCCCAAGGAACCCAGACCTCTGCCCTGAGGGTCCTCTTCTCTCCCTGGTTCTGACCCTCCCCGTTCTCCTTGCCCCCGCCCCTCGCCCTGCACTGTGGTTCCTGCTATAGTTTCTCTGTGGTTATTCATCCGGCACTCTCCGCCAGTCAGCAGCTTCTGCGAAGGTAAAGGACCCCAGAGGCCTCAGCGGCCCCTGGGACGAGGCTGTGTCCTTGGCCCCCACGGCACTGAGGCTTGGGGAAAGGGCCGGCTTTTCCTTCTTTTTTTTTGAGTGTGTTTTTTTGTGGAGTGGTTTGTGGAGTGGCTTTGTTTTTGTTTTTTTTTTTGAGTTGTGTGTACTGCAGGCATCTCAGTTTCTTAAAGAAGGAAACTGAGTCCTAGAGAAAGGGGCAGGGCTTGCCCAGCTACCCTGTGAACCAGGGCAGAGCGGGGACCACGCCTGTGCCTCCGAGTCCTCTGCCCCACCGAGTCCCTCTGAGGCCCTGCTCTGTCCCCGTTCCTATGTCTGCAGCTTGGTCATATCCTCTGCTGACCTTGGAGCAGGACGGACAGGTGGTATTTTCTGCATTTTGCAGATAGAAAGCTCAGAGATGGGTTGTGACTCACCCCAAGTCAGCACCCTGGGGGGCTGGCGTTAGAAGTCGTCAGCCCCACAGCTCCTTAGGCCCTGGAGCAGCACCCTGGTGTGTGCTGACCTCCACCTCAGGTCGTGGCTGCCAAGGCACTTTAGGTCTCAACGGCGCTGAGGACCCCTTGGCAGCGGCATCGCTCTGCCTTCCCCTTGGCCTCCCTTTTCTCTTCTCAACCCTCAGTCTCCTCTCTGCCTAGTACTGACATCCTCCCACGCTTGACCTTAGTGCCGAGTCCCTCTGCCGTCCATCGCCCTGCTGCCCGGTGCCTCACAGAGTTCTCAACAGTTCACAAAAGCCACAGCGGCAGAGCAGGGCCCCTACGCCAGGGGCTGGGCACATGTCTGGGTGGTGGCCTCTGGCCTCTGTCCATGGATCAGCCCTGGACCCCACCCCCCAGGCCAACACTGTGGCTCAGTGGGGTGACAGGGTGAATGTAGGGCCATCACCAGAAGGGGGCCCCAGACACCTGAAGCGCCAGCACCCAGCAGTCCACCCAGAACCCACCTATCACAGGTCGTGGCATTGATGAGACAGGTGTGTCTCTGGGCTCCTCTGCAGCCTTTCCTCTCATCCTGTGGTCACCAGCTCCCCCTGCCAGGTCCACCCACTCCTGGTCTTGGATAGTCCTGGAGTATCACTGAGCCTCATCTTCCCCCACCCTTCTCTCCTTCCAGAGCATCTGGAGGCCTCTGGGGACCTCTCCACGAAATCTTCTGTTCTCAGACTCCTTCCCCTGGACCCTGGGATTAGAACCCACTTGCTGAGGAACCATGGAGAGGTCCAAGCATAAGACCCTAAGGTTTTCAGAATGGCCCACTCCTGAGGGAGTTTTGGAGCACAAATTAGACACAGTGACACATTAAAAAAATTTTTATTTTATTGGTTTTTATAGAGACAAGAAGGGAGAAGGAGAGAGAGAGAGAAACATCTATGTGAGAGTGTAACATCCATTGGCTGCCTCTTGCATGCCCCCTACTGGGGATAGAGCCCACAACCTGGGCATGTGCCCTGACAGGGAACTGAACCGGCGACCCTTTGGTGCACGGGATGACGCCCAACCAACTGAGCCACACCAGCCAGGGCAGCAGTGACAAATATGATACCAATTACATCTCCTCTTCTGGGCCAGGCTGGGGCTCAGCACTTACATTTCTCGCCTCATTCACTGCCCACAGCAACTGTGTGAGTCATTACTATTGCCCCCGTGTTATAGCTAACGAAGCCTGGGCCCAGAGAGGCCTAGCTGCTTGCTCAATCTCACACAGCTTGTGACACACAGGGATTGGATCCAGGTCTTTCTCAGGGCGGTACAGGGACTTGTCCAAGGGCACATCCAAGTGAGGCTTTTCAGATCCCTGCTCTCTGCCCTGCACTGTGCTGTCTCTGTCAGCGCACCTCCAGGAAGGAGAACATGTTCTGTAAGTGCTGGAAGCAGGACAGCTCTGTTCAAGGAGCACCGGAGCCCGCCCGGTGGAGCGTGAGGTCCGTTTCCTCGACACGGTGTACCAGCCGCAGTGCCTTCTGCAGGGTGGAAGCCCCGACACCTGTGTCCAGTGATCTGAACTCATGTCCCGGGCAGCACCCCCAGCCTGCCCCCCTGAATTCCCTGCCTTGCTTCTTGTGCCTCCTCCCCAGGGCGGCCGGGCAGCCCCACCCCAACCACTGCTGCCGGAGAGATCGGCTGAGCCGTAGGACAGTGGTTCTTCCGGGGCATCGAGCACCCAGATTAATGTCTAACCCCTGTCACATGTCCCTGGGACCGAGTCCACAGGACGTTTTGTTCACTTTGTGCTGGTGGCTTCTTCTGCCTGCAGCTTCCCAGCCCCGTTCACCTCAGGCTCAGGTTCCTCCCGTGGAGTCGTTTAAAAGGGACTTTTGGACTTGTCACTTCTGCCTTTACCCTCCCATGTGTCTTCAGACGATCCCAGAAGACAAGGAGTGTCAGAAAGGACCCCTTGCCCTTCAGTGACATAAAGCCAAATTCAGAACCCAGGTGGCTAGGGAAGCGGGAGCAAGCCCGAAGGCCCGAAGGCCCGTAGCCCCACTCACCCCGGTTCCATCATAAATACTGACCGAGTGTCCATTATATGCCAGACATTGTCTTACGTCTTGAGGACACAGTAGTAAACAAAACAAATTTCTGTTCCCATGCAACTTACATTCTAGCAGAAGGGGAAATAGTAAGCAAATACATACGTAAAGTATATAGGATGTCAGGTGGGGATTTGTGATATAGAGAAATAGTAAGGAGTGGGGAAGGCTGTTGGGGGGCTTTGCAGTTTTGAACAGGGAGGTCAGGACAGGCCTTGCAGAGACGCTGACGGGAGGTGAAGAAGCCAGCCCTTACCTTATGGAGGAAAAGCATTGCAGGGGGAGGGAACAGCACAGGCAAAGCCTCAGATGCTTCTCAAGCCCTAAGTCTGCCTGGTGCATTGCAGGAAGAGCATGGAGGCTGGTGGCTGGGAGGGGTGAGCAGGGTGGTGGAGAGACGACCAGTCACCGGGACCAGATCTCGTGGGACATTGTCGGGCCCGGTGAGGACGTCAGCGTACTGGGGAACTGCTGAGCGAACTGGGGAGCCATTGGAGGGTTTTGAGCGAAGCAGACATGACTGGGCTTGTGTTTTCATAGGCTCGCTAGGGCTGCTGCCTCAACGGCAGCGTGGAGGCGGTGTGGAGTGGGGGGACGGACACCGTTTGGAGGTTCTTGCAGTGATCTGAGAGCCGTGCTGACGGCGTGGACAGGCGGACAGTGGCGGGGGCGGCAAGGAGACCGATCCTGGGTCTGTTTTGGAGGGGAAGCCGGGAAGATGCTGGCCTGCTGGATATGACAGAGGAGCTGGGGATGGTTCCTAGACTTGTGACCTGAGCAGTTGGAAGGTGGACAATTTCTGGGAGCCCATGGACACTTGGAACTAGTTCGCCCACCTCGGTTCAGCTGAGCTGTGGACTGGACTGTGTCAGCCCTGGGCACTGCAGTATCCGGGCAGACCCTGTCCTCACGGGCTCACAGCTTGGCAGAAAAGAGACTAAAAGTAGTGCCAGTGTGATCAAAACCGTCAAAGTGTATATGTGCTGTGTGTGTAGTGTGTGTGCTGTGTGTGTACTGTGTGCACTGTGTGTGCAGTGTGTGTGCTGTGTATGTGTGTTGTGTATATGTGCTGTGTGTGTAGTTTGTGTGCTGTGTGTATGTGTTGTGTATATATGCTGCGTGTGTTGTGTGTTGTGTGCTGTGTACCTGTGTGTCCTCTTGTGTTGTTTATGCGTCTACTGTGTCCATGTGGGTGTGCTCTGTGTGTCTGTGTGTGCTGGGTACGGGCATGTGTCTGTGTCAGTGTTGTGTGTGTGCTCATGGCAGGGGCTCCAGCGCAGGCAGGTCACAGCCCCACCTGGACAGCTCGCCCTCCAAGTGCTGCCGCTGGGTCAGGTTTGGGGGCAGCCAACCTGACACCCACCCTGCCCTAACGCAACCACTCCCCAGCTTCCCTTGGCAAACCTTAGAATATGTTCCAAATCCAACGAAAACAGAAAACACGGCAAATTTCAGAGGAGCAGGTGTTTGCTGTTTCAGTCTGAGGCATATCGTCTGTGGGCTTTCCCCAGACACCTCACACAGCGACACCTGCACCCTGGGTTTCTGGTGCCACAGGAGATCAGATAAAATCATGTCTCATTTAAAGCATAAAACCTCACCATGATGATCAAATTCATTCATGAGAAATCCTCACCGAAGAGAAATCACCAGCAAAACAAGAACATCAAAGCACTTTGGAATAGAATTCGGTTTCTATGTCCAGTTTCTGGGTATCAGTCTGAGACGGTCTGCTTCCTGTTTGCTGCTCAGGTCCTACCCTGACACCCCCATTTCACACAGTTCTGAGGGGGGCCCCACTGGGGCAGGGAGGTGCAGGTCCCTGGCGGGCTCTCCCAGAGAGGGCCTGCTGGAGCACAGAGCTGTGGCTTTGGGGCCACTCAGTGCGAGGCCAGCTCTGTGCCTTCTTAGGCTGACCTAGGCCCGCACCGCCCAGGCTGCTGCTGAACCCCTAATCCCACAGGAAGGGGAGGGCACAGGCAGCAGCCCCTCCTGTCCCAGGCTCCCGGGTTCTGTTGACATAGTCTGTGCCCCCTTCACAGCCCTGTCAGCTGGGTAGGTGGCACTATTCCCATTTAGAAAAAGGAGTCTCAGTGTTGGTTAGTGACCTGCCCAGGATCACACAGGAGGTGATGGGGCCAGGGTTTAAATATAAGTCTGTCTAACCTGTCTCTAGGAGCAACCCCAGTGCCCTGAGGTGACCAAATTTGGCCACTCATTTATTCCTGGAAAGGGAGACTGGAGCCTCAGAGAGGGGAGACACCTTGCCTGGAATTACCCAGCTCACCGAGGCGGGCACCCAGGGCTCCCAGGCCCCTGCAGCGCTCTCTGGCCCAGTCCCAGGAGGCCCCCTGGAAGGGCTGCGTGGGGAGTCCAAGCTCCAGTCCAGACCCGGCAGGCCACAGGAAACCCCACGTGCCGGGCCAGCCCGCTTCCCTGGCCTGACTCTACTGACCTCCCACCTGCCCTTCCCGTCCTGCGAGCTGGAGGGGCGCAGGCCAGCCCCTCCCATCGCTGTGGTCCATCCCCCAGGGCGCCGAGACCAGGAAGCGCTCGCCCACACTCAGCAGTCAGTTCAAGCGGTCGCTGGAGCTGCTCATGCGCACCCTGGGCGCCTGCCAGCCCTTCTTCGTGCGCTGCATCAAACCCAACGAGTTCAAGAAGCCCATGGTGAGTGACCCCGGGGCGGGGGGGCGCTTGGCCACGGTCTGGGGGATGGTGCAGGGTCTGGGCCCTGGGAGCAGGGTGGCGACTGGGTGATGGCCCCCTCCTTTGAGGTGTGGGACTGACCGCTCAGGGGGCTCAGGGGGCTCAGGGGGCTCAGGGGGCTCAGGGGCGGTAAAGGGATCGAGGCTGCAGAGCCCAAATCCTCACTGCCTGTCTCTCCTTCCAAGCTCTGGGGTGTGTTGTTTACCACAAAGGCTCTTCCTGGAGGCTGGGTGGGGTGTGGAGGGGCCCCAGGGGTCCGGGTGGGAGCCCAGGGCTGGGCCAGGGCAAGTGCCTGGAGGGAGAGGAAACAGGTGGCGGAAGCCAGGCATGGTGCTGGCCCTCCCTCCTGCCTGGACACTTTCCCAGAGTGGGCTGACCAGCCCCCTGGGGCTCAGGACCAGGTCCGCAGGGCTGTGCGGTTCAACGAGGGCCCAGCCAGCTCCTGGCTAAAGTAGGAGGGATGAGCTCAGGTCTCTGCCAGGCAGCTGGGCACCACCTTTCTTGCTCTCAGATGCCCCCGGACCTTCTCTGGGCCCAGGCCTCACATCTGTGGCTGGACCTTGACAGCAGGACATCCTCCCTGCTCTCCTGCCTCCTGCCTCCCTGGCCAGGCCCCTCCACTGCAGTGAGGGACAAGGGTTTCAAATGCAGATCTGATCAGTCACACCTTGCTGCCTCCCAGCTGGTTCCCTGAGGCCTTCTCAGCCCCTCCAGGAGCCCCAGGCCGGCCCTGCCCTGCTGCCGCCACAAAGACAACTCAGTACCAATTAGACAAATCTCTTTCTTTTTTTTAAAAAAATAGAACAGGAGGGTTGGGGGGAGAGAGAAACATTGACGTGAGAGAGACACATCAACTGGTTGCCACCCACATGATCCCAACAGGGGCCGGGGATAAACTGCAACCGAGGTACATGCCCTTAGCTGGAACCGAACCCGGGACTCTCTGGTCCACAGGCCGACGCTCTAACCACTGAGCAAAACCGGCCAGGGTGAAATCTCTTTCTTTTTATTTAAAATTTTTTTTTTCTTTATTGATTTTAGAGAAAGAGGGAGAGGGAGAGAGAGCTGGAAACATCAGTGAGCGAGAACATCGATTGGCCACCTCCGGCATGCCCCCCACTGGGGACTGGGCCCACAACCTGGGCATGTGCCCCAAACAGGAATCCAACTGGTGACTTCTTGGTGCATGGGTCGACGCTCAACCACTAAGCTACACTAGCCGGGCTTTCTCTCTTTTTTAAAAAAATATGTTTTTATTGATTTTTAGAGAGAGAGCAAGGGAGAGAGAGAGCAAGGGAGAGAGAGAGATAGAAACATCCATGTGAGAGAGGAACAGGATCAGCTGCCTCCTACACGCCCCCTACTAGGGATCGAGCCCATAACCCCAGCATGTGCCCTGACTGACAATCGAACCAGGACCTCTCAGTCCCTGGGACGACGCTCAATCCACTGAGCCACACCAGCCAGGCTGTTTCTCTTTCTTAATGCACTTTATTGTCAGCAGTCAGAAAGTTGTCAAAATAATTACAAATCTACAGTGGCTGTAACATGAAGGGCAACCCCAGGGGTTGTGCAAGGCACCCAGCACCTTGCAACCAGTATTTTGATGTGGATTAGCCTCCTCGGTCTCTCGTAAAGCGCCCATGTCCTGACTGTCAGGCTTCCACGCTGCACAGGTGCTCGCCCTGGCCCTCCAGGGCGCTCTGTCCTGCCGGGGTTAGAGCAAAGGACTCCTCCATGAAGCGCCCTGCAGATGTCCCAAGGGGGATTAAACCATCTCTCCTCTGTGTCCCCAAAGCACCATCACCCCCCGAGAGAGTCTCATTTCTTGCTGCTGTGTGGCTTTGGCCTCTCTGGGCCCATGTCTGGGGCTGGGGAGCCCGGAGCAGGGCTGGCCTCCCAGCAGGAGCCGCCGGCACTGATGCCCTTGGCTCTGGGCAGCTGTTCGACCGGCACCTGTGCGTGCGCCAGCTGCGGTACTCCGGGATGATGGAGACCATTCGGATCCGCCGAGCCGGCTACCCCATCCGCTATAGCTTCTTGGAGTTCGTGGAGCGGTACCGCGTGCTGCTGCCCGGCGTGAAGCCTGCCTACAAGCAGGTACCGAGCTGAGGCCTAGGTGCAGGGAGGGAGGGTCTCAGCTCTGGCTGGGCAAAGGCCCTTATTTTCTGATTGAGACAGGTAGCTGGGCATGACATCAGCCTGGCCACCTCAGCACGGTGGGGAGAACTGGGGGTCAGGCACAGAGTGCATCGAGGGCTTCGCTGGCCATGTTGGTGGGCGTGAGCATCACTCATGTGGTGTAATGGACGAGGCCAGTGCTACCAGGTGGGCCCTGGAGGTCCGCTGTGGGAGAGGGTCTGTGGTCATCCTGCTGAGCTACGGAGAAAAGTGAGGGTCAGAGAAGGCAGGACCTGTTTGGGTCACACAGCGAGTCAGGTGCAGAGTTGGAGCAAGAGCCCTGCCTCCTGGCCTGGGGAGGTACACTGAGGTGTCTTTTCCAACTGTCTATTCCCTTGTGCACCCCCCCCCCCAGGATGACCTTCGGGGGACGTGCCAGCGCATGGCTGAGGCTGTGCTGGGCGCCCACGATGACTGGCAGATTGGCAAGACCAAGATCTTTCTGAAGGTGGGAAAGCCCCCCTGGCTGCCTCGGGGGCTCTGAACTCCCGTCACGGCGGGAATGGGCGCTGGGGGGCCATCTAGAGAAGCTGCAGCATCAGGTGGAGTCAGTGCTGGGCCTTTGGATCCTCCCGTCCCGCAGTCTGTGATAGGACGAGTGTGCGGGGAACGAGGCCTCCTTCGCAGGAGAGGGGCAACTGGTACCGAGCTCATCTGTGACCTGGGAGTGGGGCCAGGGCACTGACCTGGGTGAGAAGACAGAAGACCAAAGTGGGCTCCCCCGGAGACCTGCACTCCCTCCTGACCCGTGGCTGTCTTCCCTGGGACTTTGGGCAGGTCACTGGCCTCTCGGAGCCTCGTTCTCCCTGTGGAGGATTTTCTGAGTGTATCTTGAAGTCCTCTCCTGTGGTTTCCTGCCAGGCGGGGTTCACCCCAGGCTCTGATGGGCCCTGCGCACCCCTCTCTAGTGTCTCTAGTTCCTACGTCCCCGAGCACAAACCCGGAGCTCGCTGGCTCCCACACAGCCTGGGCAGGACGTCAGAGCTCAGCAGCTGGGGAGGGGTAAGGGCTGGGATTAGGAAGCGGAGTCCTGGCCTTGGAACAGAGCTTGCTGGGAGTCGGTGGTGGAGGGGCAGCTGCAGAGGGACAGCGTGAGCTCCCAGCAGGCCGGCTTCCTCATTTCCATTTCCGTTGTATTCGAGTCTGGCTGTCCTGGGTGACAGGGCAGGGCTCCTTCCTCTGGTGCGGGTGGGGCCTGGGCAGCGCAGGACATCTGGGAGGAGGGAAGGAAGGAGCCAGCCCGAGCTGGAGGGAGTCCTGGGCTCCACTGTAATTCCTTCCTGGCTGAGGGGCCGTCCGGTCATCTCCCTGAGCCTTCATTTCCTCATCGGAAAAATGTGCACTGTGCCCTGCGTCTCACAGTGGCCCGGACCCCGGCGGGGCTTTTTGTCTGTGATCTTTAGTCGTCACGGCAGCCAGTGAGGCAGGGTTATTATGCCCATTTCAGAGGCTCAGAGAGAAGAAATGAGTTGCCCAAGGTCAGGTACTGGGCTTTCACTGGTTTGTCTGATGCCCAGCTGTGCAGGTACGGGAGGGAGGGCACGCAGCACGATGGCACCGAGGGCCGGCAGCTCTGCGGACCCTCCCCATCCCCACCCTCACCTCTCTGGGCTCTTCAGAAACTGGCAGAGGTTTTCAGAGCCTCACTGTCCACTTCTCATTCATTCGTTCGTCTACTCATTCAGAAAGGCATGGCTGGGCAGCTCTCTGTGCTGAGCCCTGTCCACAAGAGAGGTGGCCTGTGATTAACGATGGATACGGCTCCCCCACAGAGACTCAGCCTCCCCAGCGCTGGGCCTGGTCTGCCTGGCTCTCCGAGGTCTCACTCCAGCGCCTAGCACAGTGCTGGCAATGGAGACATTCAATTTATAGGCATTGAATGAATGATGAGGTTTTGTCTAACCAGAGTGAGGGCTGGGGGTTCGTGGGTGAAGAGGAGACAGGCCTGGATCATGGAGGCCTGGGTACCAGGGGAGGAGACCAGGCTCAACCCTGAGAATCATGGGCATCACTGTAAGATCACCATCATTTTGTTTTAGAAAGGTCCCTCCTTAGGGAGGCCCGGGGGGGAGCGACAGAGGCCAGGAGACTGGGTAGGAGGCTGCTGCCGAGATCCTAGAGGGATATGACGGTGGCCTGGCCCAGTCAGGGGCTGATATGACAGACATCTGGAGAGGCTCAGGCACGGGCAGGGAAGGCCATAGGGATGAAGCCAGTGTGTGTGCCTATTGCCCCCTCTGACTACATCCAAGTTCGGCTCCTCCTGCTCTGTTTGTCCCACCCGGGCCTCTGGGAAACGGCCACAAGCACCTCTGTCTATACTGGTGGCTGTGAGAGGTGCCCATGGAGCCAGAGCAGGGCTAGGAGCCTGTGTGGCCCAGCCAGGCCTAGGCCTGGAATCCAAGAGAACGATGAGAGGGCCTTCACTTGGATTCCTGGGGGCCACTGCTCAGGAGCTCTGCCCTCCAGGACCACCACGACATGCTGCTGGAGGTGGAGCGGGACAAGGCCATTACCGACAGAGTCATCCTGCTCCAGAAGGTCATCCGGGGGTTCAAAGACAGGTACGTGCAGGGACCAGCTCCTCCCACAAGCAGGTGTGTGTGTGTGTGTGTGTACATGTGCACAGGAGTGCTTGGCTCACCTCTGTTCCCCCAACTTGAACACTAGGAATAAGTATGCACACCCATGTGCACACATAGAAACAAGCACACACATGCATAACACACTGATGAACACACAGACACATGACTGACAGGCACACACACGTGGATTCATGTGGCATACACTTTGGGTACACTGTGGTCCTGGATGCCTGATGAAGTTTCTCAAGGAGGAAATTTTGAGATTTTGTAAATGACAAAATGTGTTCCTTATTCCATGGAAGGGACATGTGTATAGCTGTACAATCACAAATCAGCAGGACTGACTCTGAAGTGTGACTCAGGCTCCACAAACATCCCGCAGCCTGCCCCTTTCGCAGTTCTTCTGGCCACTCCCTCCTTTCCAGCCACCCATCTCTCCCTCCATCCACCCCTCCATCCGTTCATCTCTCCATCCATCCACCCACCTGAGTGTGCCTAGTGTGTGCAGGCAGTAGCACTGCGCTCACTCAGTCAGTCAATGTGGGCTCTGGTCCAACCTCACTGGGTCTCAGTTTTCTCACCTATATAATGGAGAAGGTTGGCAGTAATGAGTGATGTTCACAGTGTTCAAAATTTTTAATCTTTCATATTATTTTATTTACTTTTTTAAGGAATTATTTTTTCTTTATTGATTTTATTTTTTAAATTTCTTTTTCTTTATTGATTTTAGAGAGAGAGGAAGGGAAAGGGAGAGAGAGATGGAAACATCAATGAGAGGGAACATGGATCGACTGCCTCCTGCGTGCCCCCCACTGGGGATTTGGCCCACAATCTGGGCATGTGCCCTGACTGGGAATCAAACCGGCGACCTCTTGGTGCATGGCTTGACGCTCAACCACTGAGCCACACCAGCCAGGCTTATTTTATTTACTTTTTATTCATACATTTATTCATTCAATAAACACCTTTGGAAAGTCCCCTTTTTGGGCTCAAGTGACAAGCCTGTGAACAGGCAGGGCAGGTATCATTCTACCTGCTTTACAGATGAGGAAGTTGAGGCAGAGAGGGGATATGTATCCGGGGACACGGAGCTGGGACTAGCCCTGCTGTCCTGATTCCAAACCCCACCTGTGCCCTGGCTGCCTGGAGGACTTCCCGCATCACGGTGCTGTTGCAGGTCCCACTTCCTGAAGCTGAAGAACGCTGCCACCCTGATCCAGAGACACTGGCGGGGCCACAACTGCAGGAGGAACTATGGGCTGGTGAGCCTCCCTGAGGGGCTGCTCCTGGCCCCACAGGCCTTTGACCCCTCCCCGTTGCCGTAGCAGCAGGATGTGCCTGTGCCAGGAGACCGGGTGGCCTCCTGCTCTGCCCCAGCCTGCCCCACCATTTCTCCGCCCAAAGGCCTGGTCTGGTTCTTGTGGCTTTTCCCACCTGGTTGGCAACGGTTTGGCTTTTCTTCTAGACTGTTCTGATGAGTGTGAGCACTGAGTCATCACAGCCCTCAGAGGGGGCTGGACGCAGCTGTGTCCCACTGACCTCAGTAGAACAACTGGGCTGCAGCCTGGGCTTGGGGCTGGGGAGGCGACAGGAAGGAGACCCGCTCCTGGTCTGAGGATGGGGGAGCCAAGGCCATTCCTGGGAAACTCCCGCCCAAGAGGAGACAGAGCTGACCTCTGGAGCCCTAGTCCAAGGAGGACAGAGCTGTTCCTCTGGGCATGCCCGGGGGAGAGCGGGCCCAGTGCGGCCATGTCCCGTGGACAGGTCAGTCTGGAGTCGGGGCTCTGAGCGGGCCTGTCCTTGCAGATGCGGCTGGGCTTCCTGCGGCTGCAGGCCCTGCACCGCTCCCGGAAGCTGCACCAGCAGTACCACCTGGCCCGCCGGCGCATCATCCAGTTCCAGGCCCGCTGCCGGGCCTACCTGGTTCGCAAGGCCTTCCGCCACCGCCTCTGGGCCGTGCTCACCGTGCAGGCCTACGCCCGGGGCATGATCGCCCGCCGGCTGCACCGGCGCCTCAGGGCCGAGGTGAGGAGGGGGACTCCGCAGCACCTGTGGCTCCCCTCAGGAAGACAAGCCACCCCCACTTGTTGGCTGAGACCCAGGGCTGTGTCTCCCCTGAGGAACCACAAAACTGGACCAGACCCTCATTTTCATTCTCCCATCCAAGGGCAGGGCGGGGAACCCCAGTCACCCCTGTGAATCTTTGGGAGGTCAAGGCGAACCCCGTTTGGTTTTGGGATCATTGGTGCCCCTGGCTCACTGTGTGACTTGGGGAATTTCTCAGATGCCTCAGTTTCCCTATCTGCCAAATTATGTGGTAAAATTGCTCCCAAACCCAGAGCTCAGGCAGGGTAGGGTGGGCGGGAAGCACGGTGGCATCGGTGCCCACCCGGCTGTCCCTTCCCTCAGTACCGGCGGCGCCTGGAGGCTGAGAAAATGCGGCTGGCAGAGGAGGAGAAGCTCCGGAAGGAGATGAGCGCCAAGAAGGCCAAGGAGGAGGCCGAACGCAAGCATCAGGTGAGCAGAGAATGTCCCCGCCCTTAGATGTCCCTCCGCTGGCTCAGTAGCCGGCACCCACACTGGCTCTGTCCTGCGACTCCTTCCCTCATTTGTGCCCTGGGCTGGTCCTGGGCCAGGACAAGGGACAGAGGGCGGTGGCTCCAGAGTGTGAGTACCTTTTCCAGCGGGGAGACAACGCCTAGGTACAGAGCTGAGCGGGGTGAGAGCATCCAGCATAGAGCCACCAGCCCCAGGGGGCCACTGAGCGCTTGAAACGGCAAAGCACTCTAAGCGCAAAACACATGCTGGATTTTGAAAACAGTAAGGAAAAAAGGAATATAAACTGTCTCCGTACTACTTTAAAAATATTAGTTACATGTTGAAATATTATTTTGGAAATGTTGGGTTAAATAAAATATATTATTAAAATAAGATTTCCCTTATTTCCTTTTACCGTTTTAAGTGTAGCCGCTACCTGCGTGGCTCGCGTTGTTTTTCTGTGGGTCAGCCCTGGTCTAAAGCCTTGACCCAACGGGGATGGGATTCTTGGCTGGCGTGGTCCCTCCGGCTGGGAAAGCACGAGCAGGCTTCCTGGAGGAGGTGTTCCAGCTGAGCCCCGAGGGCCGGCGGCATTACTACCTGGGCATCTGTCTGCACGAGGCTTTGAGAGCTGATGGGTGTGAGGCCCAAGCTCAATCCTTCCCCGTGGTCAGGAGGCCCAGGAGGAGATTGGGGCTGCGGCCTGGGTGCTGCAGGGGCTCTTGGGCTCCCCAGGGAGGGCTAGTTCCTGAGGCTGTCTCCTCCGTCTCCCCACCTCCCAGGAGCGCCTGGCCCAGCTGGCTCGTGAGGACGCCGAGCGAGAGCTGAAGGAGAAGGAGGAGGCTCGGCGGAAGAAAGAGCTCCTGGAGCAGATGGAGAGGGCCCGCCACGAGCCCGTCAATCACTCGGACATGGTGGACAAGATGTTCGGCTTCCTGGGGACTTCGGGCGGCCTGCCAGGCCAGGAGGGCCAGGCACCCAGTGGCTTTGAGGTACCAGGCTGGGAACAGGGGCTGGGGACAGGCTTCAGGGGGATGGCTGTGCCCCCTTGCATGTAAGACCACCTGGTCCCCTCTGAGCAGAGAGCAGCTGCAATGACCTGGGTCAGGGGCCATAGATCCCAGGCCCTGTCCAGCCACCAGCCTACCACGTCAGGTCAGTCACTGTCCCTCTACAGGGCCGCTCGCAGCCTTTTATTCATTTGTGCATTGAGGGCTCACCATGCACCAGATTCTAAGTAGTGAACAGGACGACACTATACCCTGGTGGAGGAGGTGCCAGCCCCGCAGGGACAGGTGGGGGGGCTGCAGCCCAGCCCTGGGTCGCCCCACAGCAGGGAACCCCTCCCTCCTCAGGACCTGGAGCGCGGGCGGAGGGAGATGGTGGAGGAGGACCTGGACGCAGCCCTGCCCCTGCCGGATGAGGACGAGGAGGACCTCTCCGAGTACAAATTCGCCAAGTTCTCTGCCACCTACTTCCAGGGCACGACCACGCACACCTATACCCGGCGGCCGCTCAAGCAGCCGCTGTTGTACCACGATGATGAAGGTGACCAGCTGGTGAGAGCTGGGGCTGCGCTGGCAATGTGGGCACCGAGGAGGCGGGCCCCGGTGGGCTGGGACCAGGGCTGACTTTACTGGGCGGCCACGATCCTAAGAACATCCAGACGCCCTCAGCACTGGCCTTCCGGTGGGTCTGCAGCCCTGTCCCCACGCCCCAGGTTACTCCGGTGGCGTCAGTGATACCCTGCGCTTGGGCTTTCTGACTCACATGCTCTGCCCCCAGGCGGCCCTGGCGGTGTGGATCACCATCCTCCGGTTCATGGGCGACCTCCCTGAGCCGAAGTACCACACGGCCATGAGTGACGGCAGCGAGAAGATCCCCGTGATGACCAAGATTTATGAGACCCTAGGCAAGAAGACGTACAAGAGGGAGCTGCAGGCGCTGCAGGGCGAGGGCGAGGTGAGGCCCGGTGCCCTCTGGCGACCTCCCGCCCCGGCCAGTGGGCGGGTCCTCAGCCCAGGAGCTTCCAGGAGCTACCTCTGCCTCACCTCCCGGCCCCCGCGCTCCTCCGTCTCCTGTGGGAACAAGGCTCAGCGTTGGTTCCCGGCCCCTGTTGTCCGCAGGCCCAGCTGCCTGAGGGGCAGAAGAAGAGCAGTGTGAGGCACAAGCTGGTGCACTTGACCCTGAAGAAGAAGTCGAAGCTGACAGAGGAGGTTAGAGCAGACCCCCAGCTGCCCTGGGTGGCCCAGGCTGGGACAAGGCTGGCCTTGGGACCCTCAGGGACGGACGCTGCCTGTCCAAGGGCTCTGGGATGGCTGGTGACAGGATGGCATCGGGGTGATCGGGAGGACAGGAAGAGAGCCCTGGGCTCAGGCTGGGGCCAGGTCAGGGAGGGCTTCCCAGAGGAGGGGACCTGATGCTGGGGAGGGCTGGGGCAGCAGGTAGTGAGAGGGAGGACGTCCTGCGTTGCGTTTGATCTAAGGACCTTTCTGGGGGATGCGTGCCCAGGGGCATCGACGCTACTGATTTGTTTGAACTCGCGGGTGTGGTCACCTCGCTTCTCTCAGCACCATCCCTGCGCTCGGTCCCTGCGCTCGGTCCCTGGGCTCGGTCCCTGCGCTCGGTCCCTGGGCTCGGTCCCTGCGCTCGGTCCCTGGGCTCGGTCCCTGCGCTCGGTCCCTGGGCTCGGTCCCTGCGCTCGGTCCCTGGGCTCGGTCCCTGCGCTCGGTCCCTGGGCTCCGAGTTGTTCAGGCCGGGAAGGCAGACACATGAACCATTTCCAGCGCAGGGGCCTGGCTTCCCATGCCCCATGCATTTGCACACACCAGTCTCACGTCCTAAAGTTCCTCCTTCCTCTTCTCTGCCTGGGGGTGGCCGCCTCCACAGACCCCTCATGGGACCCTCCGCAGCCACCGACTCCCCCTTGGGGCTCCCACAGCCGACTGCCTCTGTCCTCACCCTGTTCCCCATCTGGGGCTCACATCCAGTCTTGCAGTCATGTAGTCCTAGATTAGACTCCCACCTTTGCTCATGGGTATCTGAGACCCCCAGGAACAAAAATGCCCACTCCGTGGGCCCCTGGGGGGATGGTGCAGGATGACAACTGGGTGCTCAGTAGATGGGAGGACCTCCCACACCCTTCTGTGTGAAGAGGCACATTCTCCCTGCTCACCCTCTCACTCACCCCTCATCTCTGGACAGGGTGCAGGGCTCATGTTGTGGGTTGTGTGAGACCAGAGGGAAGAACCCAGTCTGGGCTGTTCACATAGGGGCCAGGGCATTGGTGACAGGTGATGGTGTCGGGAGTTAGAACCCAGGGAGGACTCTGGGTGTCAGAGTTGTGTGTGGGAGCCCCTGGAGAGATAGGGGTCCTGCCAAGAGTCGGAGGAGCAGGTCCCTTCCCTGACTGAAAGGGCTTCTCTGGTGTAGGGGTTGGGGCGGGGTGACAAGGAGGCCGCAGAGGAGCCTTAACCCCAGAGTGGGTTGATCCAACACGTGCTCTGCACAGGATATGACCCATGGAGCCAGCTCTTCTGGCCACTCCCAGGATTCTGCTCTCAGGGAAGTGGGCAGACTCAGGCAGGGGGCAGGGCCCTCACTTCCCCTGCCTGGGTTAAGCCTTGTCCCCTCCCTGTGGCCCAGGTGACCAAGAGGCTGCATGACGGGGAGTCCACGGTGCAGGGCAATAGCATGCTGGAGGACCGGCCCACCTCCAACCTGGAGAAGCTGCACTTCATCATTGGCAACGGCATCTTACGACCAGCACTCCGGTCAGCGCCGAGGGCGGGGTGCAGGGAGGGGTGTGCGGGGAGGCACCCTGCCCTCCTGGGGTGCGGCCCTAAAAGGCTTTTGGTGGCTGAGTTGTGGCTCTCTCACTTTAGCAACAGATTAAGCCACACAGGCCTGGATTTAGCTCTGCTGCTAGCTAGTCATGTGACCTTGGTAGAGTTAGTTCCTCTGTGTAAACCTCAGTTTCTCCATCTGTAAAAGGGGAATAATAATAGTACCTGCCTCATAGACTTGTGAGCAGATAAACCTGTGGAAAGTGTGGGACCCGGGAGGCATCCAGCAAGTGGCAGCTATTGTCATCAGTACCTGACGTGCATTTTCTGCTTCAACCTCGTCCCCGCCAGCTCATGCCAGGAGTGGCTCCTTCCCCCCAGGCCCGGACAGGCTCACATTGGGTCCCTGGGGTACTGGGGAGGAGGTGGATGCCCCAGGAGTCCGCAGGAGCAATGAAGGGATCAGCTCAGCTGGTCAGTGGAGGGAAGTGGGACTTTTCTGAGAACTCTGCACCAGAGGACAGGTGATCCCATGACTGCTGATCCCATGACTGCTGGCTGGGAGGACAGCAGGATGGGGGGGGGTGAGCCCCATTTTACCAATGGGAAAACTGAGGTCCAGAGACGGAAGAGACTTTCCCAAGAGTCACTAGCCTCCCAGACCTGCTGCCTTCCCTCCAGGCCTCCTCTCAGTGCTGCTGGAGGCTGTCACCACCTCGAGGCGATGGTCACAGTACCCAGGTCGCCCGCCTCCAGGAAGAAGCGGCAAGGATTTGTGACCCAGTTATTTCCACAGTGACTTAAAGCGGTTACTTCCAGGGAACGCAATGCCAGGAGCCCTGGACCAGGAGTCAGAAGGGTGGGGTATTGACAGCTGGGCCCGTCCTTATCTCGGCCCAGGTGTCCCCATACGTCCATCAAGTGATGGAGGGGGAGGGGTCAGGCTCCCAGCCGCAGGTGATGAAGTTTTAATTGGTTTGTGACAAGATGGAAAAAATAAGGATGTTTCTAGAGCTAAATTTGATTTATTTAAAGGACTGTTCTTGGTTCTGAGACTTCAGCCTTCCTACTTTTTGAATACTAAAATTACCTTTGTTTTATGAAATAACTGTGGTATAGATAATGGGCAGGTTGTATGTGGGGGTGGTGTCTTAAATGTCCTTATTTGTCATGATAATAAGTTAGAAACCTCCAGAATTTATTTTGAAGTTGCACTGGTCTGTGAACTCTCAAACTGGCAAGCCACTGAGTTAGATAGACAGATCCTCCTTTCCGCCCAGGCCGGCCTTCGAGGCAGAAAAGAGCCGAGAGTGCCCCCTGGTGGTCACTTCATCATCACGGGTCCTGCTCTTGGCCCTGAACAGGCAGGCAGTGTCTTAACTGCCACTCGCATTTATTGAGGGTGTATTGTGCTAGGTGCTTTACGAGCCTTGGCTCCTTCTTCTGCACAGCAATCCTGTAAGGAAGGTACTATCATTTCCCCTTAAAATGAAAGGAAAAAGCTACCCTCATTGCTTTAATTTGATTACAAAAGCAACACATGACCAGACCACTTAAGTATTCAAACATTACAGAAATGTATCAAGAGAAAGTCAAAGTCCCTGCTCATTCCACCCCCAGAGAAATTCCCCAGATGTTTTTGCTGTTTCTGCTCTGCTACTTGCCATTAGTAGAAAATGCACTTGCTCTCATGACCATGGGCTAGGCTCAGAAAGGTGAACTCTCCTGCCTGGGCCACCTAGCTGGTGAGGGACAGGCTGGGGTGGAGCCGGGGGTACTTTTCCCCTGAGGTGGTCTCCCTTCCGTGCCTCCCCTGCCCAGGGATGAGATCTACTGCCAGATTGGCAAGCAGCTCACCCACAACCCCTCCAAGAGCAGCTATGCCCGGGGCTGGATCCTCATGTCCCTCTGTGTGGGCTGCTTCGCCCCCTCGGAGAAGTTTGTTAAGGTAGGCAGGCACCTGGCCTCCTGCAGGGAAGGGGGGCTGGGAGGGAGCTTTGGGAAGAAGCTCTGGGGGCCTTGGTAATGAGGCCCTGCCCGAGTCATCTCACTCAGGCCTCAGCTACGCCAGGCCGTCTTCCTGTCCCCTCCTCCTGAGCAGCCGGACCCTCACGCTGTTCTCCCCTCGGCCCATTTTATTCATGAGGAGGCCAAGTTTGACAGCAGCATCTCCTGGACCCTCTACGTCCTGTCTTCGAGCAGGCACTTTAGTTCCTCTCGGGCCTCTTTCTTGCCTGCTCCTTGGTGCCCGGCCCTGGGCGCTGGGGACACAGAGACAGAACAGGTGGCAGTGGGACCACCTGGCTGGCCAGTGCTGTGAAGAGGGAGCACGCCTCCTAGTCAGGGAGGTGGGCCCTGGGCGAGGAGCAGTCAAGCTGGGTGGGGGGAGGGCACAGTGTGTGGGGTGAAGCAAGAGGCATGGCTGAGACTCGACAGGGCGGGCTTGTGGTGCCAACACAAGCTGTGTGCACTGGATTTGGAGGGAGCCCTGGGAGCAGAGGGGCGAGGGCAGACGTGCCTTGAAGAGCAGGTACAGAGTGTGGGTGGAGAGACCGGAGGCAGGAGACCCTGCGAGACTGCTCTGATGGCAGAGCGGGGACCCCCTCAGCTGGTCCTCTGTCTACAGTACCTGCGGAACTTCATCCACGGGGGACCGCCTGGCTACGCGCCATACTGTGAGGAGCGGCTCAGGAGGACCTTCGTCAATGGGACACGGACGCAGCCACCCAGCTGGCTGGAGCTACAGGTGCAGCCCCGGCCCTGCCAAGCGTGTACCTGTGCACACGTGTGTGTGCATCTCCCGTGCCCAGAAAATGCCCTGCTTTGGGATTCTGTGTTTTTCACACACCCACCCTTAAGTTCTGAATCCCAGGCCTGTTGGAACGGGAACGCCCCCAGTGGATGGCTGACTCCTGTCTGTCCGCCTTATGGTCAAAGTGATTTGGGCAGGTTTTCCCTCTGTCTCAATGGCTTCATCGGCAACAGGGCCAGAATACTACTCATTTCACAGGGCCTTGTGATAGTTATGTGACATGAGGGCAGAAGCCCCTGGCGAGTCACTGCCTAACCTCCCAGCCCCTGTGGCCTGGCTCAGGGACCCTGAGTGCCCTGTAGGTTGGGGAGCACAGCAGGGCTTCCTGGGTACCTGTGACCCGGACAGACAATGTCTTGGTGAGATGCTGGAGTCGGGGCCCTGGGGGCAGCTCCAATCTCATAGGCAGCTGGGAGCTAGGAGCCAGAGAGGTTAGGTGGTCTGAAGTGAGAGGACTCCCACAAGCCTCTTGGTCACCTTCAGGCCACCAAGTCCAAGAAGCCCATTATGCTGCCTGTGACATTCATGGATGGGACCACCAAGACCCTGTTGGCAGACTCAGCCACCACGGCCAAGGAGCTCTGCAACGCACTGGCCGACAAGATCTCACTCAAGGACCGCTTCGGGTTCTCCCTCTACATTGCCCTGTTTGATAAGGTACGGCCAGCCCTGCACTGGTGGTCCCTGGGCTGCACCGCTCCCCGCCCAGTGCTGCCACCTACTGGCTCAGGTCACCTTGCGCGTTACTTACCTTCCAGGGCCATGGTTTGCCCTGTTCGCTGGTGGTAACCCTAGATCTGGCCAATTCTTTAAGCATGTGGAGCCCTTTTAAGCCCCTAAAGAAAAATGCAGTAGAACAGTGTTGAAACCCAGAACTCACTTCAGTCAGAGGTAGAAGGGCCAGGTCAGTCCCCCGCTGGTGCTGGGGAACGAACATGGCGGACAGGCGGCGGGCGCACGCAGCCACTTGGCTCTCCAGACCCCGTCTTCCCATTTACAGTTGGGGATATGGCTCCTCATCAGGTTGCTATGGTAATTTCGTTTACTCCTTAGTGACCACCTGGCACATCCAGGCCTGGAGCCTTCTCTGTGGAGTGGGGCCCGGGGCTGGGTGACTTTGCCTCCACACCCAGCAACGTCACACACAGCAGAGGTGCCCCCACCCTGCAGGTCCACAGACAGAACCATGTTGTCGACACAATTTGTCTGGATTTTTCTCCTGTGCGGATAGATATTTCTTGTGTTTTCAGTGGCCATTTGTCCATCAGAGTTTCACAAAAGGCTTACACTATGAAATGGGGACTCCTGGGTGGTGTGCCGGCTCAGGGCCCATGGCTGGGGTGCAGGGATCCTGTGCTGGTCTGCCTCCTGGGCACCTCCCTGCCTCTCGGAGCCTCAGTTTGGCATCCAAATGGGAACAGTCGGCCCAGTGGATGGCTCTTTGTAGTCCTGCCCTGCTTGCTCCCCCTTCCGCTGGGTGACTGCCAGCCCTCTGCCAACAGGTGTCCTCCCTGGGCAGTGGCAGTGACCACGTCATGGATGCCGTCTCCCAGTGTGAGCAGTATGCCAAAGAGCAGGGTGCCCAGGAGCGCAATGCCCCCTGGCGGCTCTTCTTCCGCAAAGAGGTCTTCACGCCCTGGCACAACCCTTCCGAGGACAATGTGGCGACCAATCTCATCTACCAGCAGGTGGTGCGAGGGGTCAAGTTTGGGGAGTACAGGTGTGAGAAGGTGAGTGCGAGCCGATCTGGCTGAGCTTGCTTGACGCAGGGACGCCTGTTTTCTGAATTCGGGCTGAGTGTTACTGTCTGTGACCCACCATTAGCTAACGCAGAGGTTAGCCTGATTGAGGGCGGGCACGATCCAAGCTCCTCCTGGATCTAACGCTACCACAGGGCAAGGGCTTTGAAGACCAGCCTGGACTCTGCCGGCGGGAGGTGTGCCCACGCTGCTGCGGAGGCTGCGCGGTACAAGGACGCGCTCCACAGCCGGCTGCCTGGTTCTGCGTCAGTCTAGAAAACTCTGCCCTCTGAGGGGTTAAGAGATCATCCACTCGTTAGACCAAAGTTTGCAAACGTGTATCCTTCTATTTCCTTCTGCGGACAGGAGTGGCGTGGTTGTCTTGTTTTTGATGGTAGTGATGGTGTCTCTCATGATACCTGGGATTCTGTTGGTGGTTGTGATGGAAGGAGGAGGATGGAGATGATGGGAATGAAGGGCTGGTGGTGGCGATGGTGGAGCAGTGATGGTGTAGGACAGCTGGAGGCGTGAGGGTCGTGATGATGATGATGGTGTTGGTGGTGGTGGCCGTGGTGGCGAGTTGCTATTCAGGCAGAATGTGTTAGTACAGCTACACCAGTTTCTAAAATTCTAAAATACTTTGAACGAGTTGAAAAATATCTACTGCCTGTAAGACACCCAAGAGCCCCAGGCAGGCGTCACGGGGGCTGCCGTGCGCCCGCCGCAGGCACAGGGGCCACTGCCCAGTGCCCGCGTGGCTCCCTGCAGCCTCTGTGCTGCAGCTGTGGGCTGTGCAGTGCTTTGATCATCCCAGGGGGGTAGTGACAGTCTCCAGCAGTACCCAGGTCCCCCTCCCTCCAGGGCAGTCCCTGCCTGTTCTTGTTTGTCAGCCCCAGTTGCTCTCACTGGACCGTGGATGTAGTGGCTGACCTGTTGTGAGGGTCTGGCTGCTCTCTCTGGGTCAGCTGGGGTACCTCTGGTGCTGAGCGGGCCCAGGAGAAGGCGAGGATGTGGTCCTGCCCTGCACAAGCTCATGGTCCAGCCGGCAGGCAAGAGCGGCTGGTGAACTCAGAGAGCGCGGGGTCCCCGGGCCAGGGGCTGAGCCCGCAGGGGGCAGGGCTGCCCAGAGGGTGTGCGTGAGACCTCCACCCCCCCCACCCAGGAGGACGACCTGGCCGAGCTGGCCTCCCAGCAGTACTTTGTGGACTATGGCTCTGAGATGATCCTGGAGCGCCTCCTGAGCCTCGTGCCCACCTACATCCCCGACCGTGAGATCACGCCGCTGAAGACGCTGGAGAAGTGGGCGCAGCTGGCCATTGCCGCCCACAAGAAGGTGGGGCTGGGCGGGCTCTCGGAAGGGGCTGTGGTGACGGGGGTCATGGAGTTAGCACTGGGCACCAGAGTCACAGTTCTCACCGACATGTCTGTCTACCAGCTGCAGGGGGCAGGGTGGCACCTTGACCTCCTGCTTCCCACCAGCCATCCTCCCCCATGGACCTCAGTTCTCTCACGTCTCCTGTCCTCTACTTTGGCCTGGGCTCCGGGGACACAGAGGTGGACCACATGGGGGAAACCATGGGCCCGGGGGTGTTGGGGGTCCCCACTCCTGACCTGCACAGGCGTTCCTAGCGCCACAGCTCAGGAGTGCTGCTGCGTGCTGGAGGAGATCGTCAAGGGCGCCCTCCTCTCTGCTGCAAGAACTCTGGCCCCCGTCCCACCTGGGGACTTCGTGCAGGCCCCTCGCCCCCTTGCTTGAGGCCCCAGGCCCATAACCAGCCCTGAGCAGCTGCCTTCCAGGCTAAGGGGCTGCCCAAGTAGAGCAGGGGTAGCCTGCTGGGGGCGGGGTAGGGGTGGGGAGACCCCAGCTGCTGGAGGGTCTGGCCCTGGTTATGTAAGAGCAGAACCATCTTTGCACACAAGTTGCCAGAAGGCTCTGCAGACCAGCGGTCTCTCACCCCGCTCCACATGGCCTCTTCCCACCTGGCTCTTTGACCTCTGGTGAGCTGCCCACAAGCCTCCACCCCTGCCCGAAGCTCCCTGTGCCCCTCTACATCTGGTCCTGGCTCACCCCTGAGGCCTCCCCTCCCTCCAGAGGAGATACATGCTCCCCTCCATCCCTCCATGTCTCTGTCCTTGGCAGTCCCTCCACCACCCCTCACACTGGGCAGCTGCTAAGGCCCTTCCATTCCCTGCATTTGCGCTGGCTGGAACGGTGGGCTTTTCTGTCACTTGGTGCACTGGGAGCCCTGCAGGCAGGACCTGTGTTCCCCGAGCGAATGCTGATGTCAGTGGAGTAGGAGGAGGGCAGGTGATGGGGTGGCGGGGGGCTGATGGGACGGGGTGAGGCCATGACACACAGGAGGGCGCCATAGCCTGGGGCCACTCCTGGCCTGGGGGCGGGGACCTCTGACTTCCAGACAGAGCGCATATGATGTCTTTTTGTCCCCTGTCCTTGTCTGCCCCCCTCCAGGGGATTTATGCCCAGAGGAGAACTGATTCCCAGAAGGTCAAGGAGGACGTGGTCAATTACGCCCGCTTCAAGTGGCCCTTGTTGTTCTCCAGGTTTTACGAAGCCTACAAATTCTCAGGTGCCCGCAGCTTCCCTGCCCCCATGGCTTCTCCCACCCTTCCTCCAGCCCACGCAGGGAGGGGATGGCCTGAGACAGTGCCCAGGCGGCCAGTCCTGCCTGCGGGCTGCGTGGTCTCTCCAGGCCGGTGCGCGAGTGGGTCTGCCTCCCTCAGTCCAGCTGGGCTCCGTGGCGCACGGCAGGCGCACGGCAGGCGCACGGCAGGCGCACGGCAGGCGCACGGCAGGCGCACGGCAGGCGCACGGCAGGCGCACGGCAGGCGCACGGCAGGCGCACGGGGTTGAACAGCCCAGTGCGCCTGGAGATCGTTAAAGCAGCTGGAGAAGCGCGTGGCCCAGAGCTCGGGCTGGGCTGACTCCATGACGCTGGGAGGGGCCAGCACAAACCTGCACAGGCCACCAGCTCAGCTGTCCTCGGCTGTCATTTTGGGGCACCTCTCCATGCCAGGCCCGTGCTGGTGCCGGGCTTCACAGAATCACCAGTCGTTGGCCGGAGGGAACCTCCCCACACTCACCTCACTGCAGGGCGGGGGCAGCACCCTCTTCCCACCGCTGGGATTTGGCTGCCTGGGAGGTTGTGCTCTCTGAGGCTCAGTTTCCATTTCTGTAAAGTGGAAATCAATATGCTCCCCGCTCGGGCAGCCGTGAGGACGGGCCGGGGCTGGGCCCAGGAGAGGGAGGCCTCCTCTCAGTGCCTCGATCTCTGCCCCAGGCCCCAGCCTCCCCAAAAACGACGTCATTGTGGCCGTCAACTGGACGGGCGTCTACTTCGTGGATGAGCAGGAGCAGGTGCTTCTGGAGCTGTCCTTCCCCGAGATCATGGCTGTGTCCAGCAGCAGGCGAGTCAGCCCCGCACCCACCTCGGTGCAGGGCAGGGAGCTGTGGGAGCTGCACAAAGGCCCGGCAGGGCTGGGGCTCCGGCGCCGAGTCCTGATTCAGCTGTCTGAGCCGAGGAGGGGCAGAGGGACACACAGACAGATGGGGAGGAGAGGCTCCTGGAGCCCTCCTGCGGGCCCGGGCCTCCGAGGGGAGTCTCCAGCTCACAGAGGACGCCACCGAGGGGAAGAGCCCCGCGGCCGGTCCCGGTCCTGAGTGGCCGAGCAGCCCTGACGGGTGGCAGGGAGGCCTCTGTGGAGCGTCCGTGGTTGTCCCGAGATGGGCTGTGGCTGGGCTAGGCGGGGCAGCCGAGTGTACATAGAAAGACCCTGGCCGGATTCAGGGGCCCGGATGGGACTTGCTTCCACGTCCTCGTCCCTGAAGTAGAGGTCTCGATACTTTCCTTCAGTAACTGTGGTGAGAAATACACGCACCAAGCAGTGGGAGGGGCAGTGCTGTCTCCGGCTGCGTCCCTCTGGGCAGGGTTGGGCCACGGCCAGCTCTGCGCAGGCCCATGAAGGATGCCGTGGGGACAAGATAGTCCCCCCCCCCCCTTGAAGCTTCAGCTGAGACAGGAGATGGTATTGAACAGGTCATGTTAAAGCAGGACCAGTGTAATGGTGGCTGTGGGGGGGTAGAGAAGGCTTCCTGGAGGAAGGGGTACCTAGGCTGAGACTAAAGGGTGAGTAGGAATTAAACAGCAAAAGGGAAGTGGGCTGGGCTACTTCAGGCCTCCCTCTGACCACGCGTGGCCTTGGCCAGGCCATGTCTGACCGGGGCCACGTGGCACCCTGCCTAGGCCAGCCTCTGGCCGGCTGTGTCTGACCGTGCTGGCCTTGGTCTCCTTCAGGGAGTGCCGTGTCTTGCTCTCGCTGGGCTGCTCTGACCTGGGCTGTGCTTCATCTCACTCGGGCTGGGCAGGACTGACCCCGGCTGGGCCCTGTTCTCCGTGTTGGTCCTGCAGGGGAGCCAAACTGACAGCCCCCAGCTTCACGCTGGCCACCATCAAGGGGGATGAGTATACCTTCACCTCCAGCAATGCCGAGGACATCCGTGACCTAGTGGTCACCTTTCTGGAGGGGCTCCGGAAGAGGTCTAAGTACGTGGTGGCCCTGCAGGACAACCCCAACCCTGGTGAGTGGCTCTTGGCACGGGCTGCCTAGTACCTGGGTCACAAGCGTCAGGCAGATCACCCCCCTTGGCCTTGGCTGGGCGTTCAAAGCTGCTAATGCTGTTACCCATCTGCCCCCAATGCCCTTGGCTGCAACTTAACCAAAGAGCCAAACTCTGTGCCGTCCTCCTATGCTCTGGGAAATCTTCCCCCCACCCCGGTCTTCAGTACTCATCCCCGTCACCTTGTCCAGGTGAGATCAGGGGTTCCCTCGGTATTCTCCAAATACCCGCCGTGTTCAAATGAGGACGGCAGTAACAACTGCCTGACCGAGCCTCCCCGGCCGCCCAGGCCCTGGGCAGAGCTGTGAAAAGTCAGGGGTAGAAACAGGCAGCGACAGTCCCTGGGACAGTACAGTGGCCAGGAAAGCCCAGAGGCTGTGGGAGCCCAGAAGAGAGGCCCCAGGCAGCCTGGGGGTCAGGGAGGAAAATGTGTGTGAGTGTTCGAGGCAGAGAGCGGACCACAGACCCAGCTCTGGGCTGGGGAAGCAGGCGTGTCTGGGAGCTGCGCTGCGGTTGGCTGGACTGGTGAGGGGCGGGTACGACGTCAGCAGTCAGCCCACCACGGGCCTTCTGAGCGTGTCAAGGAGTGTGTGGGCTTTCTCCTGAGGGCAGGGGGAGCCCCAGAAGGGTTTTGAGCGGGGGACGGGCCTACTCTGATGGCCGTGTCCGCGTGGAGGGCTATGGCAAGATGGAGGCAGGGTGACCAGCGAGCAGACGTGAGTGGGACAGGGCCTCGGTTCCTCAGTGTGAGGAGCAGCTTCTAGGTCGTCAACTCAAATAAAGGTGTTTCATCCCGACTCTCTTTCTGCCCCCCTGTGGCCCCTCTCACCACTGGTTCCCAGCGGGCGAGGAGTCGGGTTTCCTCGGCTTTGCTAAGGGAGACCTCATCATCCTGGACCACGACACAGGAGAGCAGGTCATGAGCTCCGGCTGGGCCAATGGCATCAACGAGCGGACCAAGCAGCGCGGGGACTTCCCCACCGACTGCGTGTATGTCATGCCCACAGTCACCATGCCGCTGCGGGAGATTGTGGTATGTGGATGGGGGCTCTGCCGAACCCCTCTTTGTCTTCTTTGCATGTCTGAGTGAGGGATTACAATAGACACAGGGCCCGCAGCTTCTGTGAAGATGATCTGGGGGCCCCGTGGGGAGCTATCCCACCTGGAGAGGGCCTGGCACCCGTCAGAGGAGGCAGTGCCCGGGGCAGGGTGTGCTCAGACCGAAAGCGCAGAGGGCAGAGCTGGGAAGGGGGGTCCTGGTTCTTTGGAATCACCTTGAGCGTAGCGCTGAGCACTCAGACCTCAGCGTGTCCACGCGGCTCCCGCTCCCTGGGCAGTTCTCACCGTGTTCCCTCCGCCTCGTCCAGCCTTTCTAACTGACCCAGCCTGGTTCAGACACAGGGCACCGAGGGAAGGGTCCTGAGCCCAGCATGGTGGAGGCAGCAGGAGCTTCGGAGGTCACAGGGAGCAAAGGGCTCCTAGAGCAGGAATGGGGCACGGGGGCTCCCCCACAGTGGCAGGCTCCCCTGCCCCAGTCTGGAAGGCTCTGGGCTTTGCCATTTTGATCCCAGGAGCCCCAGGCGGAGAGCTGACCTCAGCCCCGTCTCTTGGTCTGCAGGCCCTGGTCACCATGACCCCTGACCAGAGGCAGGACGTTATCCGGCTGATGCAGCTGCGGACACCGGAGCCCGAGGTGCGCACCAAGCCCTACACACTGGAGGAGTTTTCCTACGACTACTTCAGGTGCCAGGGAACGGGGAGAGGGGCCCCGGGATGGCCAGCTGCAGGCTGCGGCACTCTCTGGTGGGGGCATCACAGAGCGACCCCACCTCTGAGCAGGGCTTGTTATGGGGCTGCTGGGGACAGAGGAAAGGCTTCCTGGGGGAGGGGGCTCTGCGCCAAGCGGTATAGGGGTGACTCGGGCAGAGCACACGCCAAGGCCAGTGCAGAGGGGAGCAGGAGCGTGCAGACGGGGGAGGGGAGGGCTGGCCGAGGCACAGCCACGTTAGTCTTCCTTTTCCAGCTGAGAAGGTGAAGCCGGGGAGGACGGGTACCTGCCCCAGGACACAGGGCTGCAGGGAGGAACAGGGCCTGTGCCCTACCCTTGGCCTTCAGCAGTGGGGCTGGATGGGGGCAGGTCTCACAACCTGGGTGTCAGTTAGTGCTGACTGTTCCTGTGCCGGGTCAGGCCCCCGCCCAAGCACACCCTGAGCCGTGTGATGGTGTCCAAGGCCCGAGGGAAGGACCGGCTGTGGAGCCACACGCGGGAGCCGCTCAAGCAGGCCCTGCTCAAGAAGATCCTGGGCAGCGAGGAGCTCTCGCAGGAGGCCTGCATGGCCTTCATCGGTATCCATCCACACCAGGGCTGGGGGCAGGGGAGGGGACCACAGGGCAGGGTGGGGCCGGCCCCTGCCTCCAGGGTTTTCATCTAGATACCTACATCCTTCTGGGGGCCCGCTGGGTCCTGGGACGCGGAGGGAGGCTGATGGAGCAGCTCCCTCCAGGTGCCAGGCACCCTACAGTATGCAAGAAGCCACCTCACCCTTTGTCTCTTCTGACCCTGTTATTTGGCTGACAGCACTTTACCATGTGCTGGGCCAGGCGTGGAGACAGTGGTGACCAGGCCCAGTCCCTGGCCTCAAGGGAGACATGCTGACTGGGATCAGTGCTATGATGAGGTTGGCAGCACAGTGACCTGACCCAGTCTTGGAGGAGGGCAGGGAGGGCTTCTTGGAGGAAGTGGTATCTAAGCTGAGACCTGAAAACTGAGTAGGACTTACTCAGCCAGTCAAAAGGGAGATGGGTGGGGAGGGTTCCAGACGGAGGGAGCAGCATGCACGAAGGCCCCGAGGCAGACAGAGCAGGGCTGTTTCGAGGGCATAAAATAATTCAACACAGCTGGAGGGCAGACTCAAGGAGGGAATCTGAGGATGTGTGGGCTGACTCGTGGAGGGTTCCCAAGCCCTGTTAAGAAGCGTGGACTGTGTCCCGAGGCCATGCGGAGCCCCTGGACAGGGGTGGCATAGTCAGACTAGTGATTGGGACATGCATGCTGGTTGCTGTGAGCGCTTTGCATGTGGGGTTGGGGGGCGGAGGAGGGGGCTGCAGGAGTTGAGAGAGGGTGGTGGTAAGCAAGGGCCGCAGGGTGGGAGAATAATGCTCGTCTCCTAAGTGAGTAGTCTGAGGCCCAGGGGCACGATCCTGAGGCAGGCCCAGTGGGACAGTGTGGCCTCCTGCCTCCTGGACCCCGCATTGGCCACGAGCCCCTCCTTGACGGCTCTCCAGCCATGCTCAAGTACATGGGTGACTACCCATCCAAGAGGATGCGCTCGGTCAACGAGCTCACCGACCAGATCTTCGAGGGCGCCCTGAAGGCCGAGCCCCTCAAGGACGAGGTGTACGTACAGATCCTGAAGCAGCTGACCGACAACCACATCAGGTAGGTAAGCCGGCTGGTGGGCAGCCAAGGGGCCGGCCTCCCCCCCCCCCCCCCCGCCCCCGGTGCTCACAGCTGAAGGGAATCTGAACGGTCAGGCACCCATTGTCCTGGGGAGCTCCCAGCCTCCCAAGGCAGCAGCTGGCTCTGCCTGGGAGCAGTCCCTCCTCGCTCAGAGTAGGAGCCCCCTCCGGCCCCCTAGCTCTGCCTCAGGAGGGCCAAGAACCAAGCAGTGGTGGCTGTGCCCTCTGTCTGTCCTCCGAGTTTAACAGGCCCAGCTCCTCCTAACTTCCTGCCATGCCCAGCTAGAGCCTCCCAGATGCTCCTGCCCTGCCCAGGCTCTGCTGTCCCACTGCAGGTTCAGCTCAGGAGCAAAGGTCCCCTCCCTGCTCAGGCGGAGCTGGCTGTGTTGGAAGCTCTGGCTGACGATTTTCATGGGCTAAAGGGGTTGGGTTCCAGAGGGTGTCACCTTCTTCTCCCTCGGGGCCATATGACTGCAGGAGTGGGAAGTCAGGCACAGGCTAGTTTCAGAGCCTAAGAGAAGCCCTATCATCTTCTTGCACCCAGACCCCCGACTTCCTCCCCAGCTGTGCCACTCTCTGCATCTCTTACTCAAGAGCCAAATATCAGATCTTTTCACACGGACAAACCTCTGTATGTGCTATGACTCCAACCAGGAAAACCTTTCCTCTCCTTTGCATATCAGGATTTGTCCCATTCTTCAAAGCCTAAATAGAATGCCACCTCCTCCTAGAAGCCCTCCAAGCTTCCCTCCTGTCAGGCCCAAAGAGCTCAGAATGGTGCCTGAGGGAGCTCACTGGCTGTTCTAACTTAGTGTTATTCCAAAAGTAGGTGAGTTAAAGAGCTTCCGCCAGAAGAGAAATCACACACTGCTTTCTTCATAAGAAAGTCCTGCTAAGAAAAAAATCTTAGCTGAACCAAACAGAGTGCTTGGTAAAGCCGATTTTCATTCTGGCATGAGCACCTTATCTCCATTAGGCTGGTAACTGTGTGGCCCCGCGTGGGTCAGCTGACCACACTTTGAGTGGCACTCACTGGACCCAGCTGTCAGGGAGGTGGGGTCTGTGTGGGTCCTCAGACAGGGCGGGGGGCCAGGCCGGGCATGTGCTGCTGCGGTGAGGAGAGAGGGGTGTGCAGCCCCGGGTGGTGCTCAGACCCCTGTGGTTGCCCTTGGTACCCCTGCGGGACACTACACCTCTTCCGGCAGGTACAGTGAAGAGCGGGGCTGGGAGCTGCTCTGGCTGTGCACGGGCCTCTTCCCCCCCAGCAACATCCTCCTGCCCCACGTGCAGCGCTTCCTGCAGTCCCGAAGGCACTGTCCGCTGGCCACGGACTGCCTGCAGCGGCTCCAGAAAGCCCTGAGGTACCGCGGGGGCGGGGGCGGGGGCAGGGCACACAGCCTGGGGGCAGGCACTGCGATGGGCTCCCAGCCACACCTGGTTTGGGAGACCCGTCCCCTTGGAGGTGAGGACGGGGCCACATAGCAAGTGGGACCTGTCCCTGGGGAACCACAGCTGCCAGCTCATCAGAGGTTGAAGTGCCAGTGCCCATCCTGGACACAGTGAGTCTGGCTGCTCAGAGGGGCTGGCTCAGACCTTCAAGCCAGCTCAGATGGCAGGTGCCTGCAGGCACGTCACACTCCGAGAGCCCGTCTGCGTCCTTTGCTCACTGTCCCCTCCATAGCCCCGTGGGGGGTGCTGTCATCATCCCATTGCACAGACGAGCAGCTGGAGATTCTGAGGTTAAGTGACAGTCTCCTGGTAGGAAGTGATGGGCAGGGATTGGAAGTGAGATGTTCTGTCTCTCAAAGTTCCCTCTGCTTCTTGCCTCGTGAACCTGCCAGTTCCTGACTTTGTCCCCTCTGCCCCTGGCTTTTAGAAACGGGTCCCGGAAGTACCCCCCGCACCTGGTGGAGGTGGAGGCCATCCAGCATAAAACCACCCAGATATTCCACAAGGTCTACTTCCCCGACGACACTGACGAGGTGAGGGCCCTGGCTTCTTGGCCCGTGGATGCCCCTAAGACACCAGGCTCCCTGGGGGACACAGGGAGCAACCTCGATGCCTCCCTCCTGCCATCCCCACGGCTCCCCTTCCTCCTGCCCCTCAGTGGAGTCAGGGCTCAGTCAAGCTGCCAGACTCCCTGGGTCAGGAGCCCTTGGGTTTCTGGTTCAACCTCCGTCTCCTCGAGCAGCTTCCTTGAGAAGGCCATCCCTTCCTCTGGCCCCCTGTCCAAGGGTCCTGCCTGTCTTCCTGACACACCCTTGTGGCCAGGCTGCCTCTGAGCCTGCTTCTTACCCCGTGTCAGCACAGCGCCAGTTCAGATAACCCAGCCCAGCACTGACGCCTTCCTTTGGAGGCAGCTTTAGAACCTGTCTAGACACTAGAGACTGAGAAATGTCACGATAGGATTCCAGTCACAAGGATAAACTCTGAGATCCTTTCCTGTCCCCTCCAGAGGAAGGTAACATGGAGTGCCCCCCCCCCCCCCCCCGCTCCCGTCCCTCCCACCCTGCTTCCAGCTCTCTTTTCTCCTCCCCCTTTCTGGACTCTGCTTTCCTCTTTGTCGAACCCTCACCTACCATTCACCTCTGTTTTCCCCTGCCATCCGTGCTCCCCCAACCTGCGCCCTCGTGCTCCCCCAACCTGCGCCCTCCGTGCTCCCCCAACCTCCGCCCTCTGTGCTCCCCCAACCTCCGCCCTCGGCGCTCCCCCAACCTCCGCCCTCGGCGCTCCCCCAACCTCCGCCCTCCGTACTCCCCAAACCTCCGCCCTCAGTGCACCCCCAACCTCCGCCCTCTGTGCTCCCCCAACCTCCGCCCTCTGTGCTCCCCCAACCTCCGCCCTCCATACTCCCCAAACCTCCGCCCTCAGTGCACCCCCAACCTCCGCCCTCAGTGCTCCCCCAACCTCCGCCCTCGGCGCTCCCCCAACCTCCGCCCTCCGTGCTCCCCCAACCTCCGCCCTCCGTGCTCCCCGGGCCTCCGCCCTCCGTGCTCCCCCGGGCCTCCGCCCTCCGTGCCCCCCCGGCTTCCGCCCTCCGTGCTCCCCCGGCCTCCGCCCTCCGTGCTCCCACCCTCCGTGCTCCCCCGGACATCCGCCCTCCGTGCTCCCCGGACATCCGCCCTCCGTGCTCCCTGGACATCCGCCCTCCGTGCTCCCCAGCCTCCGCCCTCCGTGCTCCCCGGGCCTCCGCCCTCCGTGCTCCCCCGGGCCTCCGCCCTCCGTGCCCCCCCGGGCCTCCGCCCTCTGTGCCCCCCCGGCCTCCGCCCTCCGTGCTCCCCCGGCCTCCGCCCTCCGTGCTCCCCCGGCCTCCGCCCTCCGTGCTCCCCCGGCCTCTGCCCTCCGTGCTCCCTCGGCCTCTGCCATCACACACGCTTGTAGAGCCAGGCCCAGGGCCCTGCAGGCCAAGGCCAAGGCCTGGAGGGTTGGGGAGGACATGATCTGGGAAGACCCAGACAGGAGTGGCCTTTTTTTTTTTTCCTTAAATGCTGTGCCTAGCTCTGGACCCACGGGACCTCCTTAGAGGGGGCTGTCTTGCCTAGGAGGGGGTCGGTCTAGCCAGTGGGGTGTAAGGGGCCCTGCCAGAGTCAAGGCAGCCCCACCCCACCCCCAGGCCTTCGAGGTGGAGTCCAGCACTAAGGCCAAGGACTTCTGCCAGAACATCGCCGCCCGGCTACTCCTCAAGTCCTCTGAGGGATTCAGCCTCTTTGTCAAAATTGCAGACAAGGTGGGTGCTGAGTCCTTGTCTGTTGTTGGTTTGTCTGTTGGGAAATTTGCTGGAACCATAGCAGCTTCTGGGGCAGCAGGGGGAGAGGAGAGAGACACAGGAGGGAAGGAGGGGGAGGAGGGGGAGGAGACAGAGAGACAGGAGGGAGGGGGAGGGGAAAGAGACATAGGAGGGGGGAGGGGGAAGAGACAGGAGGGAGGGCAGGGACAGGAAAGAGACAGGAGGGAGGGCAGGGACAGGAAAGAGACAGGAGGAAGGGCAGGGACAGGAAAGAGACAGGAGGGAGGGCAGGGACAGGAAAGAGACAGGAGGAAGGGCAGGGACAGGAAAGAGACAGGAGGGAGGGCAGGGACAGGAAAGAGACAGGAGGGAGGGCAGGGACAGGAAAGAGACACGGGAGGGAGGACAGGGGACAGGAAAGAGACAGGAGGGAGGGCAGGGACAGGAAAGAGACAGGAGGGAGGGCAGGGACAGGAAAGAGACAGGAGGGAGGGCAGGGGACAGGAAAGAGACAGGAGGGAGGGCAGGGACAGGAAAGAGACAGGAGGGAGGGCAGGGTAGAGAAGAGAGAGGTGCTCTTCTGTGTGGCACCGGACTGTGCCCATCTCCTTCTTGCATCCCTGTGCGCCCCTTTCCTTACTGGGCATCTGCCCAGAGTGGCCTCACACCAGGCCCGCCCCTCACTCGCCCCAACACACATGTACTTCCAGATCTGATTGACCGCCCCTCAGCTGCTGAGCTGAAGCTATTAACCCTTGAAATACCCGTGAAGGGAGGGTGATCATCCCCACCTAATAGATCACACAATCTGGGTTCAGAAAGGTTGAGTAACTTACCCAGGGTCACACAGAAGGGCCCGAGATCCAGGTCGGTCTGACTCCAAAGCACAGGCCCCTGCCTCCATCCCACGCTGCCCTCCCCGACTTCTCTGTCCACGGGGTCAAAGGGCAGTGCTGAAGCCCCTTCCTGTGCGAAGGCTTCCCTGACCAGCGGTGCCAGTCACTGGGACGCAGAGGGGATCTCAGTGAGTCCTGGACCCAGGTGGCTCAGAGCCTGTGGGAGGAGCAGGACACAGATGCCAGCAACTGTCCAAGGCAGGGCCTGGGCTAGTTCTCGGTCTTTTCCCCGGGGCGAGGGCAGCGCGCAGTGGTCTTTGCTAAATGACAGAGTGGAGTGACTGTCCCACTGGGCAGGCTGTGTCCTGGAGACACAGTTGGGGCAGGGTGTGGCTGCACACAGACACCCCTTCGGGCGGCCAGAGGGAGCCTCTGTGGAGAAGGGGCCACTAGGAAGTCCTCGGGCGGGAAAGTCAGCATTGCTCAAACTGAACCAGTGGGCTGAACGGCCGTGTCCTTAGGTCATCAGCGTGCCTGAGAACGACTTCTTCTTCGACTTCGTTCGACACCTGACAGACTGGATAAAGAAGGCGCGGCCCGTCAAGGATGGTAACATGAGGAGGGGGTCTGGGCTCACCTGCAGCCCGGAGCAGGGCAGGTGCTGGCTCGGTGTCGTACCACAAAGCCCACCTGGGAGGGACCCGCTCTGGGCGGTGCTGGGCATGGGCACACCTTTGTACGGGGACCCTCTGGGTGACCAGTTGTCCTCTGTCCCAGGAATCCTGCCCTCGCTCACCTACCAGGTGTTCTTCATGAAGAAGCTGTGGACCACCACAGTGCCAGGGAAGGACCCCATGGCCGACTCCATCTTCCACTATTACCAGGTGAGCTGCCCAGCGTCTCCGCGGGCTGCAGCCTCGTGTACCTGTGAAAGCAGAGACCCGCTGTCCTTGCCAGGGGCAGGGCCTGTGACAGCACAGCCTTGAAGACACATTTATCATGTTCTCTCTTCTGGGATGCCCTTCTCTCGGGTCTTTCCCTCTTTACCTGTTGAGCTTTCAGACGCTAATTCAAAGATGTGAGTCTGTTTTGTTCGCTCATTTATATTGTTCTTTCGATTCTACATGTAAGTGAAATCATATGGTATTTGTCTTTCTCTGACTGACTTATTGCACTTTGCATAATACTCTAGGCCCATCCATGCTGTCACAAATGGTAGGACTGTGTTTTTGGTTTTTTTTGGCCAAGTAATATCCCATTGTATACATGTACCACAGCTTTTTTATCTATTCGTCTATTGATAGGCACATGGGTTGCTTCCATAACTTGCCTGTTGTAAATAAAGCTGCAGTGAACATAGGGGTGCATATATATTCTTTCAAATTAGTGCTTGGGGTTTCTTTGGCTATACAGTCAGCCTTGTTTATTGTGGTTAATCATTTCCAGACTCTACCGCGATAAATGAGTTTCCGCGAAGTAGGATTCTTTATTTATGTATTTGAAAAAAATCGTGATAGAGTGAAGCCGCAAAAGTCAAAGCGCGGGCTGGTGAGGGACAACTGTATACCCAGAAGTAAAATTGCTGGGTCACAAGACAGTTCTATTTTTAATTTTCTAAGGAATCCCTCCATACTGTTTTCCATCAATCAGCTCATCTTAAGGGAAGTCTTCTCTGTCCCCAAGACTGTATCAGGTCACCCTGTTTTATGTTCTCATAGTACTGAGAACAATTCGTGGAATTGTACGTTGATTTGGGGTGATGATTAATGCCTGTTCTTGACTACAAGTTCCATGAGAGTAAGGAGGATATATGTTGCTGCTTAAAGGGCTTGGCTCATAGTAGATGCTCAATAAATATTTGTTGGCTTGATTGATGGGTGAGTAGGTGAATCGGTGACTCCATGAATGGATGGGAGGACGGATAGTAAATGAATTTATGAGTTGGATATAGGTGGGTGGATGGGTGAGTGGGTGAGTGGGTAGGAGGGTGGGTGGGTAGGTAGATGGATGGGCGAATGGATGTGGGTGGGTAGACCCATATGGCTGGGTGGATGGGTGGGTATAGATGGGCAGATAGGTGGTGAGTGGACAGGGTGGGTGAGTATCTGATTGTGTAGATGAAAAGGTAGGTGGATCATAATTGACAGGTTTCTGATTTGCAGTGCGTCCTCAGGCCAGCCTCAGTTTCCCTATGCTTCAAATAAGAGAGTAGTAAGGCTCGGGGAGCCTGTGGGCAGTGCTAGCCCTTTAGAGGGTCCAGCTTTGCTTTCGAATCACCAGAGTGACTCCCTCCACACTCCGGTTCTGGTCTGGAAGCTCGAGGTGGGCATGGCTGGTGCTGCTGCTGAAACCAGGCCGGCCTGAGAGGCTTTCCCAGGGAGCGCAGGCCTGGGAGGTCAGGGTGCGGAACAGTCTCCGTTTCACCCTCTGCTCACTCTGATTTCCCCTCGCTGGACTGTTAGGGGGATGACATACTGTTCACACACAGCTCTGCTTTCAAACTGCACCGCGGGGAATCCGCGCGTGGCGGCTGTGCTCCGCTGTGCCGTGCCCCCTCGAGGAGCGGGGTCAGCTGCTGGAAAGCGAGCGGCCCCGGTGTGGGCTCAGGCAGGAAGGCACCTCAGGGTGGTAGGGAAGGAGCCGCTTCCTCCAAGTCCCTCCTCCCAGTGACCGGCTCTGTCTTTGGCAGGAGTTGCCCAAGTATCTCCGAGGCTACCACAAGTGCACGCGGGAGGAGGTGCTGCAGCTGGGGGCGCTGATCTACAGGGTCAAGTTCGAGGAGGACAAGTCCTACTTTCCCAGTATCCCAAAGCTGCTCCGGGAGCTGGTGCCCCAGGACCTCATCCGGCAGGTCGCACCTGACGACTGGAAGCGGGTGAGCATGGGGGAGGCAGTGGGGCTAAGGTCGCCTACAGTGGGTCTCTGGGCACCCCAGGGGTCAGGGGGCAGCCAACAGCCCAGGGAAGCTCTCCTGTGACCCTGCATGGGATAAGGTCACCCTCCCATTCCCTCTCCAGCTGCTTGAGTCTCTAGTCTTTCAGAAAAAGGATTCAGCTAGCCACTCTGCAATATTTTTCCCTGCCTTGGTTACCATGGTGTCCTACCTTTATTTAAAACTCCTTGGCCTGCTTGCTTGGGGAGGGAGGAGGGCAGGAATCCATTAACTGGAATAAGGGAGGTAGCCTGTCATGGCCTCCAGGACTCCCTCCTGTGCCTGGCCCTCCCAGGCCCTCGATAGCTGCTGACGGGTGGGGCCGGAGGGCAGGAGAGGACTCTGACCCACCCTCCCCTGCAGTCCATCGTCGCCTACTTCAACAAGCACGCGGGGAAGTCCAAGGAGGAGGCCAAGCTGGCCTTCCTGAAGGTCATCTTCAAGTGGCCCACCTTTGGTTCAGCCTTTTTCGAGGTGAAGGTATGCTGTGGGTGGCTTCTCAGAGAAAAGGAAGGAGGTGAGGAGGGGGCACGAGAGGGCAGAGACTCCTCCCCAGGACTGGGAACCAGCGATGGACTCTGCTGCCTGCCCCGGCAAGGAAGAAGGAAGGCCCCTCAGACTCGTCTCCGCCAGGGGTCTCGGCTGAGAGCTGAGCCTGGACTCGGTCCTGGGACACAGAGGACCAAGAGCTCAGCCTGGCAGCGGAAGCAGATGTGTGAACAGGCCCGAATCGTGGAGGATAATCTGGGGCGTGGGGGGGGGGGGCTCTTACCAAGGTGGCAGCGCCAGGGGGCCCACCCAGACCGTACAGGCTGAGGAGGCTTCCCGGAAGGGGCAACCTCGAGCCCCGGGGAGCCCCTGGGGAGTGTCCCTGGCAGCCATGAGCATAGACCCAGAGGGTGAGAGCTCAGGCCCGGGCAAGAGGAGCAAGTGGCCGAGTGCAGCTGGGCACAGGGCGCGAGGTGAGCAGATCCTGGTGAGGCAGGTGGGCAAGCAGGAGAGGGGTTTTCCTGCAGGGGCAGCCAGCCTTGGAGGGTTCAGAACAAGGAGGATGGGGCCAGAAGTCCACTCAGCCGGCAGGGTGCGGGGATCTGAGGGGCGCCCCAGAGGCAGGAGAGTGATGGAAGGGCTGGCATGAGGGACTGAGGGGAGCGGTCTGGATGGAGAGGAGAGCGCGGCCTGTTACCCCCAGGGTGGGAGGCCTTCAGGGAGGTAACTAGGTAGCTACGTAGGTAGATAGTAAGGTTCAAGGAGGGTTTTTAGAGATGAGAGACATTTGGGTTGAGAGAGATGAGATAGCAGAGGCTCCTAGAGAGAGGGCATTGGGCTGCTGCTGGGGGGAGTGGAAGAGGGGGTCACTGGGGACCCATGAAGGGATTTGGGGTAGCACTGAGGGCCCAGCAGAGGTGGGAACTGTGAGATCATGGCAGGGCTGCCAGTGCCTGCGCCCTGGCGCTGAGTAGGCAGGAGAGGTCAGCTTTACCCCAGCCGGGCATCCGCATTCCTGCCCCGCGCGCACAGCTTTTCCTGCGCCGGGGCCCCTCCCGATGGTTTTTGGCTTTTCTTACCAGCAAACTACGGAGCCAAACTTCCCTGAGATCCTCTTAATTGCCATCAACAAGTATGGGGTCAGCCTCATCGATCCCAGAACCAAGGTGAGCAGTGGCAGGGAGGAGCAGGCAGGGCAGGCTGCCCTGGCCGCACCTCTAACAAGCCCCTGCCAGCGTCCATCCTCACTTCATCCGCCCTCCTGGCCACACCTCTGCCTGTGTTTGCTCTTGCTCTTCCAAGCCCCTCACCTGCTCCATCAGGTGGCTCTTCTAGAGGTGCCAACACCTTGTTATAAATCCAGTGAGCGCTAGTACTTGGCCTTTCAGCATCATGGACGCTACCATCCTGTCCCCTTCCTGAATGCTGCCTGTCTTGGACAGGATGGCAGGCTGCACTGGGGTAACTACACTCACATTTATGGGCCAGAGCAGTCCTCACCAAGGGGACCAGGAGGCACAGTCCTATCACATGCACAGAAGGACAATGGGACCGTTGGTGGTAGGTCCAATGACCACCGTCTTCCCCGGCTTCCTGTGCCCCCTTCCCTGGTTTTCAGCATCTCTCTCTTGGCCATTCGACCCTTCCATAGGCTTCCTCTCTACCTAGTCCATAAGTACTGTGTTCCCCAAGGTTCTGTCCTGTCTTCTTCCTTTCTCTTTCCTCTTCCTGTACCTGGACCATCTCCTCTAGGACCACAGTTTCAGTTCCTTTAGGCCTCCCACATGCCCGAGAGCCTCCTGGACTTCCTTGTCGTCCCACCTGCTGGTCCCCCCAAGGCATGGAGGGCGAAGGCACCCGCCTCAACCTCCTGTAGCAGCTCCTAGCAGCTCCGTGGCAGGGCTAGCTCCACCCTCCTGCTCTTTGTCTGAGGGCCTGGGGCCCTTCATATGGTCTGTGGGCTCGAGCTGAGGGGAGTGAGGCCAGGGGTCCCGGCTGTGCAGCTTCAGACTTTCTGCTCCCCCAGGACATCTTGACCACTCACCCCTTCACCAAGATCTCCAACTGGAGCAGTGGCAACACCTACTTCCACATCACCATTGGGAACCTGGTGCGCGGGAGCAAGCTGCTCTGTGAGACGTCCCTGGTGAGGCTTCTTTCTTCCCAGCCCGGGGGCGCCCGCCTCCCCGCCGCTCCAGCCACTCTCCCAGGCCCTGGGATGAATAGGAGTCAGTGGCTTGGCTGGTCGGGATCAGGGGTCAGGCTGGGGCCACGGTCAGGTTAGCTTGAGGCTCAGCTTTAGGTCTGGGGAAGGGGCTTAATCTAGGGCTGAAGAACAGACCCCTCCTTCAGTAGCAGTTGTTTGAGCTTGCCTTCAGTATCTGGGGATTGAGCCTTCAGCCCCCGCGTTCAACAGTTAAACCAGTTGCATTGAGGCCTCCTGGACCGGGCTGTTTCCAAGGCATAGCTCAGCTGTACAGCCTTTGTTCGTTCTTGGAGGTAGGCATCCAGGATCTGAGGGACCCACAAGCTAGGGCCTTACTGTGGGGTCATAACAGCTTAGAACCCGAGACATCTTGCTAGATGAGTCCAACCCCTCAACTATGCAGCTGGGCAACCAGAGAGGAGTAAGACTTGCCCATGTCTGGGGTTCTGCCTTCCGTAGACTCCTGGGGGCTGTGTTCTGGGTCTGAATGGGCTGGCCTTGTCTCTGTGCTTTGTCTTCTTGCCACTGTTTCCAGGGCTACAAGATGGATGACCTCCTGACTTCCTATATTAGCCAGATGCTCACGGCCATGAGCAAACAGCGGGGCTCCCGGAGTGGCAAGTGAACAGTGTGGAGGTGGCACTGGCTCTGTGCCTACTCCCTAGGCAGCAGCTGGCTCAGGCCCATCGGTACCTTTGCAGCTGGGCGAAGACCTCTGGCATCCAGGCAGGGAGGCTCAGCCGGCCACCCACCAGTGACCGCACCAGCTTGAACTCGGGCCCTTCTTCCAGTGAGGTGGCCTTCCAGCCACCCGAGGCCCCTGGGTTGGATCTGGTCCCCGCTTATGGGGCCTTCCCCGTTGTAAGAGCCTGTGTGGCTCGCATGCTTTTCTCATCTCAGACAGCCCTGGGCTGCCTTTGGCTTTCTGTGCGCCCCTGGGACAGGGACTCAAGAGGACAACCCAGTTCTCCACACTGGGAGCAACCAGACCAAACCAACCAAATCAAGACTGTCCTGGCACCTAAGGCTAATTCCCCCGAGCCCAGGACCCTCAGCGGGCTGAAGGAGACAGACCGCTCATGTATATTGCAGTGTGAGTGCTGAGCCCTGCTGTCCTGGTCTCCTGAGCACATAAAGCATGTGTTTCTCTTTCTGACCAGAGTGTCTTTGTTGAGGAAATGGGAGAAGGAGGGAAAGAGGATGTGGGGCAGGGCCCTTTTTGTGTGTGTATGTGGCCTGTATACCTCTCTCCTTGGTCTGTGTGTACAGGCCAAGCTGGTCTGAGTGTGGGGGTAGGGTTGCCTGAGTCCAAGGTGTGCTTGAAAGAGACTTAAAGGGACTGGCTGAGGCAGGGCCAGGTTGCAGAGAAACACTGGACATCAGCCTGGGAGGTGAGGACCTAAGTGTGCAGGGCAAGAGCTCAAAGAGGGACTCGCTTCTGAGCCTTAACTAGGGCCAGTGGAGCCAGAGTGGCCCTTGCATCCTGCCAGAAACATCTCCTTGGGTCATCAACAAACCACGGAGAACCCCAAGAACAATGCTGCCTTGGGTTAAACCCTTACATCCAGTGAGTGCCTGTAGAATGTTCCTTTCTCACTAGGACGGAACCACGTTTGGCTGTGACAGGGAAGGTGTGATTTGGGGCTGTGGCTGGGATGAGTGCCCAGCGAAGTGATGGAGCATCCCCTTGTGTGGGCACAGTTGTGACCTGCCTCAGGGTCCCCGACACTTCGGCAGAGCGGAGTCCTGTTTGCCCACACACCTATGTGTCTGGTGTTATACACACCTAGGTGCTCAACCAAGCCGCAGGGAGTACTGCTCCTGTCCTCTGCAGCTGCCTGTGTGTGTGTGTGTGTGGGGGGGGGGGGCAGCCGCTGCTTGGGGAGACCGAGGCCCCAAACCATAGCCCTGCTTTCTGGGATGATTGTGTTGCTGTTCCAGACCGCCCAGCCCCCCAGTGTTACGTGCCCCCACAGTCAGCCCAGGATAAATCTGAGCCAGGAGGAAGGTGCTGCAGTGAGCTGCCCCTGCACCATCCTTGTAGAGATGGGGTACTGAGGCCCAGATGAGTGTGAGTAGGTGATGGTCACCCAGTGGAACTCAATTCACTGTTTCTAACACTGGACTCCCAGACAGAAGGGGCTCCAGAAGCCTGTTCTAAGCTCTAGTCTTCCTTCAAGGACAAAGGCCATTGGGTGCACGTGGGAATATGCCCGTCAGTCCACTGAGGAGTCAGCCAACAGCAAGCTACTAGGAAGCACCCCACTTCACACTAGATCACAAAAAGTACACGTGGGATACAATCTTTGCCCCCAACTCGTGCCCATGCCAGCTCTCATTTTCTGACTCAGGCTGGGATCACTTTGGTTCTCACCACCTAGTCTTTGCCAGCGTGAGTCATCACAGAAGGGTCCAAAGAATACATCCTTTACCTCTGCATTCCTGAAAGGCTGCCTTTATTTACATGCTGATGTTCACCACCGCTGCCCCATTAGCAGGGAATAGTGTGAAGGGTTAGAATAGGACAAGCCCTGGATCACCCAGAGCTCCAGCTTCAAGTCCACAATAGCTGTTTTTCTCTCACCCAGACCCTAGAGTTGCATCCTTTACAGAAAGGCTAGGCCAGAACATTCTCCGCAGAGTCTCAAGTGCTCTGCTACGCTCATTTATTGACCACTCCCCACGTCACCTCAGTGAGCACAGAGAGGAAGAAGAAGAAGGGGCAAGGTGTGGATAGTTCTTTGAGGACAGCACAAGGGAGGAGGGCATGCTGGATGTGGTGGAAACCATCTTAAAACAGGATTCAATAGTGGGAGTCTTTTTGGGTTGTGTTTTAGGATAAAGGACCTCTATGGAGGAAACTCCTGGTTCATCTGCCTTTTGGCACTGCTGTTTGGAGGGTGGCCTCTCTGTTGGCCTCCTGGGTGGATGTTTGGGTGGGTTCCAAGGCCTCCTCAGTGGGCACTGGTTATATAACATCATCCATAGCAGGCTTGGTGGTTTCCTGGACTGGCTCTGGTTTGCTGTGTTCCTTTGGGGAGCCTTGGCTCCCCTTATGCTCTGGTTAGATCAGGGGCGGGGGCTACTGGAGTCTGAGGACTTTCCCCAGCTTGGGGCAGAGGCTCTACAGTCATACTAAAAGTTTCTGCTTTCTCACTTTTTCTCCTTTTGAGGCTTATACTTTCAGTGTCTGTGAAATAGAAAAGACAAAAACACCGATTCCTCAAATGTCATGTCTCCAATCTTTGCTGGTCACATGGTTAAGTCCTAGTCATCTTTAAGATGTTTGTTCAGCCCTGGCCAGTTTGGCTCAGAGGTTGAGCATTGACCTGTGGACCAGAGAGTCCCGGGTTCAGTTCCCGCTAGGGGCATGTACCCCCCCCACACACACACACACAGATGTTAGTCCCTTACTTATCATCTCAGGTTCTTTCTCCCTAGTGCTCCCTACCCCAGATTTTGTGCAAAGGTTTTCATGGTCCTCCAATTCATCATGGCGCTGGAATTTTAAGAGTCTACAGTGTGAAATTCTAGCTCCCCATGGAAGCTCTCAGAAGAAAGACATTGACATTTTTTTTTTAATTCTCACCCGAGGACATTTTTGCACTTATCTTCAGATAGAGCAGGAGGAAGACAGAGAGAGAAACATCAGTGTGAGAGAGACACATTGACTGGTTGCCACCCACACAACCCCAACTGGGGCCGGGGACAAACTGCAACCAAGGTACGTGCCCTTAGCGGGAACCGGACCCAGGTCTCTCTGGTCTGTGGATTGACACTCTAACCGCTAGGCCAAACCAGCCAAGGCGACATTGACATTTTCTTAAAGTTCATGATTTCACAACCATGGCTCTAAAAAATGAACACGATAAAAATAAATAAGAGAGATATAAAGATAAAGAATAAACACTCCTCTATTAGAACAGGAGCTTTTTGTGGTCAGAGACTTTGTCTTGCTTGCCACTACATAAATAATTTTTATCTACCTGTCTGATAGAAAAAACAAACTGGAGACATTTGTCTCCACCGTTTCTAGTCTTCTAGTACTAGAGCTAGGAACCCGACTCTTACTGAAAACTAAAAACTGGATAATATACAAAACCAAGAAAACATAAAAATTTATAATGAGGGGAGGAACTGTGGGGCCAAAATCTAGAAGAAAGTGACAATCCAAAGAGGTAAGCTAGGAATGGTTATATTTTACCCTGAATGTAATTTCAACGTTGAAGAAACAGCTGCACACATGAGCTTCATCTTTTGTCAGCTTCACAAGAGGAAGGAGATTGTTTATTGCTCTTGAGTTGAGTTTGTAGGTCAACTAGATTTTAGGACAAGTACCTATGATATTAGGTTTTCTAATTCATGAATGTGGTGGTGTATTGCTCCCTTTACTTGGGTCTTCTTCCTTTCAGCAAATATTCATAATTCTCATTTTTATGTTGTTATAAATGCTATTTAAACTTTTCTAAAGTTTCCAATTATTCATTGCTAATATAAAGACATACAATTGATTTTTCTGTGTATTGACCTTGTATCCTGAGACACTGCTTAACCCATTTATTACTTCCAGTAAGTCTGTTTGTTGTTTGATTCCTTAGAATTTTTTAATGTAAACGATCATATCTGCAAATTAGGAGATTTATTTATTCCTTCATGCCTGTCACTTATCCTATTAAACTGGCTACAATCTCCAGCACAATGCTGAATAGAAGTTGTGAGCAGATATCCCTGCCTTATTTCTGATTTTACAGAGACAATATTCATTGCTTCATCATTAAAAATGATATTGACAGCAGTTTTTTTTTGTAAATATCTTTGATCACATTGAGGAAGTTTCATCCCTATTCCTAGTTTGCCCAGAACATTTCTCATAAAGGGGTGTTGGCTTTTGTCAAATATGCTTTTTCTATTTTATTTTAATATGGGATTATATTGATTAAGTTTCAAATGATATATCCATCTTGCATTACTGGTGTAAATCTTACTTGCTCATGATGTATTATCCTGTTTACACTGATGGATTCAATTTGCTAATATTTTGTTAAGGATTCTTATGTCTAAGTTTGTAATGATATTGATCTGTAAATTTAGTTCTTGTAATGTCTTTGTGAGATTTTATATGAGGATATTGCTGGCCTCAAAGAATTAGCTGGGAAGTCTCCTTCTTCTTCTTCTTTTTTTTTTTTCTGAGTTGGTATAGAATTAGTATTATTTCTTAAATATATGAATAACAAATGAAACTCTTTGGGCCCCAATTTTTCTTTCTAGTGAGGTTTTTGATATATAACTTTGATTCTGATAGTGGATTATTACAAATTTCTATTTCTTCTGTCAGTTCTGGTAAGTTATATATTTTAAAAAATGGTCTATTTCATTTAAGTTGTCAAACTTAATGACATAAAACTGCTCATAATTTTCCTTTTTTATGTCTAGGATCTGAAGGGATACTCCCTCTTTTATTTGTAATTAATTATGTTAGCAACCTGGCAACCTCTCTTTTTCTCTCATCTTGCTAAGTGTTTATTTTTATTAAACTTTTCTCTTTTTTCATTTTCTCTGTATCTTTTCTATTTTATTGATTCCTCCTATCTTTAGTATTTCCTTTCTTTCACTTGGAGAAAAATGCACTCTTCTTTTTATAGATTCTTAAGGTAGAAACTTAACCAATATCAAAACTTTCTTCTTCTAACTTTTAAAGTTACAAATTTCCCTCTAAGTCCTGTTGTTTTATATGCATTATCCTTTAGTTAAAAATAGTTAATTTAATATCTAATTTCTCTTGTGATTTATTCCTTGATCAATGGGATGTTTAAAAATACATTAATTTCCAGCATTTAGAGGCTTATCTAGATATTAATATTTGTTTTTAATTTAAGTTTGTTGTGGCTGCTACAAACATGGGGGTACATATGTTCTTTCTGTTTGGTGTTTCAGGCTTCTGAGGGTATATGTAAGATTCCAGTCTTTTGAAATTTATTTGAGACTTGTTTTATGGCTTGTCATATGGTCTATTTTGGCAAATATGCAACCTACATTTGAAAATATAGTATATTCCTCCCATTGTTGGGGATTTTGTTTTATGTCAGTGTGCTGACACTGTTGCTCAGATTTATATGTCCTTTCTGATGTTATTTGTGTGTATACTTATTTGTTCTTTCAGGTACTGAGAAAGTGCTTGTAAAATCTCCAGCTATGACTTCAAGTTTTTGTTTCATGTGTTTTGAAGCTCTGACATTAAGTGCATACACAGATTTATATAATGCCTTCCTGATATACTGACCTTTTCATCATTATGAGATCTTTGTTTCCCGTAATGTTCCATGTTTTTTTACATATTATTTCTTAAGCTGATTGTTTACATGGCATATCATTTCCCCCATCCTTTTACTTTGAACCTATTTGTGTCTTTGTATTCTAAGTATTTCTTTTGTTGACCACATATGGTTGGGACTTGCTTTTTTCCTATTTGACAGTCTCTATTTTTTTTTTATTAATTAATTTTTGTTACAGATGTTTCTCCTTTTTCCCCCACTGGTTCCCCCCTCCCTCTCCCTCCCCGCCCTGACCCCAGTTTGTTTGCCCATGTCCACTGTTCATGCACACATGCATATAAGTTCTGTAGTTTATCTCTCCCCCACCACCCCCTCTTCTGGGGATTATCAGGCTACCCCGCACCGCCATGTCTCTGGGACTACCCCATTCCTCAGACTGTTATGTTCATTATATTCCACAAATAAGTGAGATCATATGATACTTGTCCTTCTCTGTTTGGCTTGCCTCACTCCGGATGATACTCTCCAGGTCCCTTCATGTAGTCTCAAAGGACAAGAGATCTTTCTTACAGCTGAGTAGTACTCCATTGTGTATATGTACCACAGCTTCTTTATCCATTCGTCTACTGATGGACACTTGGGCTGTTTCCAGATCTTAGCTATTGTAAATAGTGCTGCTATGAACATGGGGGTACATATATTTTTTCTGTTTGGTGTTTCAGGCTTCGTAGGGTATATTCCTAGAATTGGGATCACTGAGTCAAATGGAAGTTCAATTTTTAATTTTTTGAGGTAACACCATATTGTTTTCCATAGTGGCTGTACCAGTCTGCATTCCCACCAGCAGTGTACTAGAGTCCCCTTTTCTCCACACCTTCGCCAACACTTGTTGTTTGATGATTTGTTGATGGCGGCCATTCTGACAGGTGTGAGGTGACACCTCATTGTTGTTTTGATTTGCATCTCTCTGATGATTAGTGATGATGAGCATTTCTTCATATGTCTCTTGGACATTTGTATGTCCTTTTTGGAGAGGTGTCTATTTAGTTCCTCTGCCCATTTTTTAATTGGGTTCTTTGTCTTCCTTTTGTGGAGTTGTATGAGCACTCTATATGTATTGGAAATTAACCCCTTATCTGATATATCATTGGCAATTATGCTCTCCCATATAGTGGGTAGCCTTTCCATTTTGATGATTGTATCTTTCGCTGTGCAGAAGCTTTTGAGTTTGATGTAGTCCCATGTGTTCATTTTCTCCTTTGTTTCTATTGCTTTAGGTGATGTATCAGTGAACATTCTGCTCCGTATGATGTCTGAAATTTTGTTGCCTACAGTTTCTTCTAGGATTTTTATGGATTCATGAGTCACATTTAAGTCTTTTATCCATTTTGAGTTTATTCTTGTATAGGGTGTCTAGTTTCATTTTTCTGCATGTAGCTGTCCAATTTTCCCAGCACCATTTATTAAAGAGGCTGTCCTTACTCCACTGTATTCTCTTGCCACCTTTGTCAAATATTAATTGAGCATATTGCCTTGGGTCCATTTCTGGGTTCTCTGTTCTGTTCCACTGGTCTATATGTCTGTTCTTGTGCCAGTACCAGGCTGTTTTGATTACGGTGGCTTTGTAGTATAACCTGAAATCTAATAATGTGATCCCTCCAACTTTGTTCTTCCTTTTCAAGATTGCTGTGGCTATTCGGGGTGTTTTTTGGTTCCATATAAACTTTTGAAGTACTCGTTTTAATTCTGTGAAGTATGCTGTTGGTATTTTGATGGGGATTGCATTGAATCTATAGATTGCTTTGGGTAATATGGACATTTTAATGATGTTAATTCTCCCAATCCATGAACAGGGTATGTGCTTCCACTTTTTTATATCTTCCTCTATTTCTTTTTTCAATGACCTGTACTTTTCTGC